AAACTGCTGCTCCAAGCGTAGGGCTCCTGGGCTGGGCTTTTACAGGCATAATTTTCCTTCGCGTGTTGCCTTCCACATCATTCTAGGGTGTCTTTGCCATCAGCGGTGTTTCTCCAGGTGTTTTGAATGTTCCTTTCAGTGCTAAAGTAAACAAGCCCAGAAGTGGTAGTTAGAGCCTTGCAGCTCCGTGCTGACAGTGGGATGTTAGGTCCGGGGCTGTAATGCAGTTTCCTTGCTTGAATTCTATGAAAGCAACTATTACACAGGTGTTCACTGGTTTCTAAAGTCACTCTCAACCTCAGGCGTCTCCTAATACAGGTATCTGAGTGTTGCTGTGGGACGTGGGCTTGAAYGCTCATTTGGAGAGCAAGTCCCCTGGCTCCCAGCTGTGACGGGTTGGGGGAGGCGTTAGTGGCCCTGCTCAAAGGTGCACGGTGAACGTGGTGTGTGCTCGGGAAGGTAATGTGGCCGAGTAGTGCWCCAAAGGATACGGCACGTCTAGGAATACACACACCTGTTCTCAGYTTTTGGGAAAGGGGATGTTCCCATACAGATGGAAACACCAGAGCGACTCCAGGCTGTCAGTGCCCGTGTGTTCTGTGCTCACATAAGACATTAGGGTCCCTGGCTATTTGGCATAGCTCTTCCATGTCATTTTACTGCCTCCTCCTCCCATGTGCAGCAAGAACCCGTTGGCCCTTCCTGGCTCTCTGTTTAAGCAGCCGTGGTAGCCCGGTGTCTATGTGAGGCCAAGTCATCTGAGGCAGCACAAACAAAAGGCAGGAGAATGACAGGGCCTGTGGTGACCTTCAGAGCACTCGAGCTATGGGGGGTGGCACCAGCAGGGGGAACGGGGCTCTGGAGCACTGCACATATGTCCAGAAAAGGTTGCCTGCCCCTACCCAGCACACTTAGGCTGCCGCTAGACTGCTTTTACCACTGGCTGTTTATTTTGCTTGACAGCAGGTATTGGTAGCTAGCAGGGTTGTCCTGGCAGTGCAGTCAACAGAGCTTCACRGACCCGAGCAGCTTGGGGAGCAGAAAGAGCCGCTAGCAGGGAGAGACTCGGCACACGTGCAAGGAGTTGCTGAGGACCCTAGATTGTTTTAATCCAAGAGAGATTTAGGCTTTTCATTTGTATCAGATTTGAAGCTGCAGGTGAAAACTTATGGTGAATATTTTTGTCCAGTGTTGTATCAGAGTCAAGTCCTTCACACAGAAGGAGCAGTTAAAGGGCGGTGGTTTGGGKTTTTTTTGTCTTTCCAAAGAAGTTAGGAAAAGCTGCTGGAAAGCCCTGCTCCTCCCTGGGGACTTCTGCTCCCCGTGCTCCTGCGTGCCCTGCTGCAGCTTCCTCAGCCTGTCCATCTGAGAGAAAGATGCTCCTCCTCAGCGGCTGCTTTGAGCTGCACAGCCCTTGCACAGCCCTTGGGCCTGGGGTAGCTCGAATCATTTACAAAATACATATGTATTTGTGAAGAATTCAGAAGTTAATGCGCTGGTTTTGTTTCCAAGTTGTTTAAGGAGCTGGAGTGTAAAGATCAAAGAGCATTAGATCCATGTGTTTAGCAAATGAAAAACTAAACAGAAAAGCCACTTTGCTTGATGCGCTCCACCCTGTGAATTACACTTGCTTATGGAGCAAATACTTCTGCTTCCTTGAGACGTGGGTGGAGTTAGTCGAGTGAGAGGAAAGGAATTTAGGATGTGTCTAAGCAGACCAGAATGAGGAACACGATCGTTTGAGTCTGGAGATACTGGAAGGTTTGAACTCCTGTCACTTGTCTCAAAGGCATTTGCTGGGATGTGCTCTGAGAGCAGAAGCCCTCTGCAAACTCAGCCTACATCCAGCGCTGGTGCTGCCAGGGATGTGAAATAGTCTGGGGGGAAGATCTTTCGGGCTGGGGTGTTATTTTGTTTACCTGGGTACGAGCCCTGGGACTCCGGAAGGCGTTTGTAACACCTGCATTAATTGCTCAAGAAGCAAACGTTTCAGCTTGCAGCATGAGTGAGGCAGGATTTGCAGCCTTTTGCTGCAGCGTTTTGTGGCTCTGCTGCTCTGGGGGCTGCCTCGCTGCCCCTTCGGTGTGTTAAGCCTGGCACGATAAATTTGCCATTTCCTTAGCTGCTGCAGGTCACGTTTTGACATGAATAGAAGTAATTCTGATTTAAACTAATAGGTTGGAAGGTCTCAGAAGCACCATGGACTTGTCTTTGGAGAGGATGCAAGTGTTCAGAAGTACACTCCTAAGGAGGAACGATCGGCTGGGGTTGTTTGCAGGGTGAGGAGGTTATTTACCAGATACTGGAGAGTGAACAGAGTTTTTCTAACAGTTGTACACTGCCTTTGAAGAGCCCTGGAGAAGTACCACTTGAACCATACGTAGAGAAGCCATAGAATTAAGGGTGTGAATCGTTGAGAACCGTCCCCAGCAATTCAGGTGGTTTGCATGCGCACACACCACCTTTCCCCTCCGCTCTCAATTTGACTAATTGTTACTATGAGGCACCGAAGGGCTTGGGCTGGGTTGATTTGAAAGGTGCGAATTATAAATGGCAGTATAATTAGGGCAGTAAATGCCGCCTTTCTCCGTGGCAGGATCAGCCCAAGAGCCTCTCGACGCAGCTTGCGTCAGCGCTCAAAGAGGTTCCTGCRGCCGCGCCAGGGCACAGAGGGGAGCGGGGAGGACAGGGCTGCCCCGGGGCTGCGCGCCAGGGCCGGGGGATGAAGGATGAAGGAGGTTCCCCGGGGGCTGCTGCACCACAAGCGGTCCCGCACGGAGGCCCCGTGGGAAGCGGAGGATTCGGCAGCCCTTGGAGGCCGGCRCGGCTCCCCACGCGCCCCTGCTGCTCATCGGCTCCTGTTCCCGCTCTCGGCAGGGCTGCAGGGCAGCTYGAGGGGGCCAGCAATGAGAAACAGCCATGGAGATACTGGAAACTGGGTGGAATAGCCTTTGGATTTGAGAGGGGCCAGCGCCGCGGGCTCTGAATTCCTGCCTTAAAGACAAGATTGCCAAATTTTTGCTTAATTCTTGAAATCTSCATTTCTAGTTGGACACCAGTTTGTTAACGTTTGCAGTTATTGCTTGTTTCTTTGCTGTATGCAAAAAGCAGAATGTTTTAATCCTGCTTGTAAGGACTCAGAAAATTGAAGGAGCGTCRCTTACTGGATTTTATGTTGTAGATTTTATGACTTAAATGGATATCAGTTTTAAAAAGTGCCTTAATGTGCATTTTCTGTATGTTCTTGAAAGGCTTATGCTCGTTCACAGCTCAGATTTTGTGAGTCTGTGGTGTTTCGTGTCCTGCTTGGCTGCTGATCCACTCCAGAGTGCCCCACCGTCCTTTCCTGTGGTGACTCCTGCAGYTGCTGGGCACGGGGACCCTGTGCGTGGGCTCCACGCCGTTTGTTCGAGGGGGGACGAGAGGGCGGACACGCGCACGGAAAGGGAGAGGGTGGAGACGGGCCCACGTGTGCGAACGTGTTTGACTCGCCCTTCTTTATTGGAGGGATGCTCAAGCGGAGCAAAACACTAATTAAAAACAAACAGGAAATAAAAGCAACTATCTTGTCACTTGAGCTACTCAAAGGCTGAATACTTTCAGATTAGTAAATTAACAAGCTAATTAACCTTTTTGACTTGAGAGAAACGCAATTGGCTGGAGTAGGTGGATCTGGCTCTTCATTGCAATGAGTAGAGCTGTTCTTTCTTGATCTTCCCGTAATTCGTGTCTGCCTGCACCTTTACCAACCAGGCACTAGTGGACTTTTCATTTTTCARTTGAAGATGAGAGGTAAAAAGTAAACCAGCAGCCCGCTTCCGCGGGGCCCCGTCGTTGCCCTCCCTTGCCCCGCGGGGCCGTGTCCCGTGGGTCCCGCAGTGCTCAGGCCCTCGGGTTTGKGCCGCCCTCAGCAAGCACCTGGGCSTGAGGCTGTTCCCTGCCATCTGAAGGGTGCTGGTGCCTGGTAACTTCTTACCAGGGRTCGGATAATACAAGCAAGTAAAAACATGGGAAATTTGGCACAGARTTCTGGAAAAAGAAAATCCTACTTGGCTTTTGGAAAGAAGAAGAGTGCATGTGTGTTGATGTGAGCAGCACCTCGCTCATGCTTATGTGGGCTTTGGGAATCGGGATCCCTTTTGAGTGCAGGGCTTGCTTGTAGGTGCGCATCACTGGCTTCCTGAACGCGGTGCTGCTGCCCCGACCTGCTGCAGGCGAGTCGGGCAGGGGAGCTGCTGCCGCTGCCTTGCAGCCGCCGCTGCCCTCTCCCACGGCAGCTCTGGGTGCAAGCCTTGTGCCATGAGCTCGCTCTGTTTCRCTGAGCTGCTATTTAACTTTAAGTGGCTATTTGTAAATACCACTTCAAGTGGCTCTTTASGAAGGTATTTGATGATGCAACAATTTCAAGATGAATTTAATGGTGTGAACTAGAATTTGTGAGAGGTAAAACCACCCCACCTTTGTTTTCCCTGGTCTTCTCCTAGTGTTGCATTGTAATTCCTAGCTTCTGCCTTCCAAAGCTCTTCCTTTGTCTGCAGTGCCCAACCTCCCTGCAAGGTACATTTGTGTCATGGACCACTTGTCTTAAGCATATGATGCAGTTAAAAAGTTTGTGTTAACTAACACATTTTTATACGCATTTTAAATACGCATTTTACATATGTGTGACAAAAGGCTTTGTTGCTGATAATACCTAATCTCTTCCACATAAACAGTAGGTTAAGTAAAGTTTATAGTGATTAAATAATGTATGTGTTAGAAATCAATAATAATTTAAGTAACTGTAAATCAATCAATAATAAGTTAAGTAACTGTAAATCAAATAGAAGTATTTGTTGAAAATATAAAGATGTTGCATTTTAAGGTGAGTGATAAATTTGTCCATATACATTTTGGGCATCAAAATTGTATTTYATGGGAAATAGAAATTTACCAGAGCTTTGGTTTCATCCTACTTTGTTTTCACCGATAGTTTACTACTTTTTTGTTTGTTTTTACAGTTCTATCTTCAAGACACTAAAAGTAGTAATGGTACCTTTATTAATAGTCAGAGACTAAGTAGAGGATCTGAGGAAAGCCCACCATGTGAGATTATGTCAGGTGACATCATCCAGTTTGGTGTAGATGTGACGGAGAACACGCGGAAAGGTAAGGGTATGGATCTTTTTTTTTCCTGCCTTTTTCCCCCCCCTTGATTCCATTTTCAAGTGTGTTTGTTTGGAACATCTTATTACAAAGCAGTGATACCCATGTTGCAAGGACATCCTTCTGTCATCTCTTCTCTCCCTTGTGCTGTCAGCGAGAGCCTTGTGGTAAAGAGGACCCATAACCTTTTCTGCTGAACATGCGGGTTCTTTTCCAGCCCTCGCCTCGTCTCTGGGCTCTCGCAGACTGGCCTCCATCCCACCGAGCCCCGGGGGCTGCATCGCTGCTYGCGGGTCTTCCAACAGCCCGGGGAGGCGCAGGGCCGGAAAAGGAGGCCTGGCCGGGACCACGGGCTCAGATATTGCACCCCAGCATTCGCTCAGCAGTGTGAACCCTGCAGCATGAGCATGTGTGCATGCSTTTAACTACCTGTTCACGCTTCTCTTTCTTTTTTTCAAGCAGATGAACCCTAGAGTTTTAGCAATTAACGCAACAGAAGAATGAGCAAGAATTCCCTGCTAAAGTAGTCAGCAGATGCTTGAAGCAGATTAGTTTAATTCTTGTTGAGATATCTGGATATCTACCTGTTCTTCTCATTGCTGCTGCTTTAAATTTCAGGAGATACTTGAAAATCGGGGTAGAAAAATGTTGCTAGGTGGAAAAAGAGCTGGGAGRTTTGGGCTGTGTTCTGTTTTATTGCTCCTCTTCTCCGTGTGCACATCCAGGGCACTGTGGACTGTGATAAAAGCTGTGTCTGTTAGTCGATAACAGTGCAGCCAAAGTCTCTTGTGTTTTGGGTTTCTGCACAAGGTTTCCCGAGCCGTTTCTTTCTCCTTTTAAAGGCTGATTTATGTGTGATTTCATCAAGATTTTTCTGCGGATACCCGAGATGTCTGTTCCTTTTGCTGAAGAGCAATATTCTGGTTGTTTCCCTGAATCCTAACCCAGCAACACGTATTTGGCAAGAAAATGGCAAAATTGTCATCACTGTCCTTCTGCTGTGCTACTTTCCAACAACCTTCACAGAGCTTTTTTCCACCCCCTACTCTGTTATACTAATGTGATTATATTAGGAAAGACTGAACTGAAAGAATATTTAATATAACTGCTTATGGAAAACTTCTGAAAAGAACCATGTCAGAACAGTGAAATTTTTGAGGAGCATCACACAAGCAAAAGGAAATTATGCAGCCTGCTGCCATCAGCTGCTCTTTCAAACATAAATTCTCTGTTCAGTTTGCCTCGGTTATGTTTCTTAACTTGCAAAGTATCAGATGAAGGGGAATGAAAAAAGCTTTAAAGAGAACCTTGCCAAGTGATGGAGGTGGTTAAGTATTTTATCAGGGAGGTCTTCTGGAGCTTTTGGGACCATTTTGGAATGATTCAYGATAGTAAAGGTCATCAAACAAGTTGTTTCATTTCTTCCAAAAAYGATCTTGTGAAGATTAAGGAATTGCTTGGGTATTATTTAAAATGTAATTTCTCGTGACATGACTGTAGACACTTATTAATACTAGTGTTATCCATGAAGTAAATCAAAGGAATATTTTGCATCTCTAAAACTCAGATCTATTTATTTGATAAGAGATTCTATCTTCATTAAAAGGAAAGGCACTTTTGCTGTTAAACCTGAAACAGCTTGTATTTTAAGGTATAGTTGGAGGAACATTTTCATTCAGGCTTGGGGGGAAAAATGTTTTCACTTTTTTTATCAGAAATATTTTCGGTTCAAATATGTGGAAGTTTGTGAAAGTTCATCTTCTCTTAAACTTGTTTTCTGGCAGTGACAGCAGCGGGTTCTTCCCTGTAGCCGTTTTATAGTGTTTCTGTATTTGTTYGACAGAAATGTTACAGCATTTCTGTAAAAGGGGCTCCCTGCAGCCCCTTGAGCTGTGAGCGCAGGTGCCGGCTCCCGCGTCGCCGGCGTGCGGAAGAGCCGGCAGGTCTGTGCTCTGCCTCCTCCCAGCAGCGAGGGAGAGCTGGAGCGTCGTGCAGGGGCGTGCAGCACAAGTACAGCTGAGCCAGGTCACGGTTAAACTGTTTACACACAAACGCAACTGGAATGCATGTAAACACATATTTTACCCAATTAATTTTAATAGTCTCAGATGTTGCGGTTAATCTAGTAATAAAAATGCAGACATGAAAGCAGCGTTAAATTAGTGGTTCCCTTTAAGACCATTTTGCATTCTTATATTTATATAACACCTTCCTTGCACAAGACTCCTCAGCGTTTTGCCATATGTAATTATCATGCGATGACTGCACAGGCACAGTTTATTTGTCTATGTAAACTCTGAACTGTGTAAATATTACAAGAATATATTTATTATGCAGATTGTGTTTGCTAACTCATTTTTTGCAAATAAGATTTCAGTCTGGTTCATTAAAATAGTGGCATGTTCAGTATGTAGCTCGGCGGGTGCATTATACAAGCAGTGATTCCTGCCGGTCCTGATGYTGAGCACAAGTTGCATCCCCTGCAGCTTCCCCACTGCCCGGGACAGAGCTGTGGCTGCACCCTTAGTGCAGCACGTGCCTGTTTCCATCTCGCTGTGCTTTTCTCCTAATGTGCGCGGGTTCATTTTATTTCAGTAATCCTGAAATTTCCCAGTTGTGGCAGCACATCCCAGGAATTAACCATTGGTAACCAACTTACTTAGCTGTGTGGAAAGGAAGTGACTTTCAGGTATGATCAAGTAGTAGCAAATAATGAAATCCAAGTTGCTCACCTTGAACTGCACTCTAGTCAAGCTTGGGCTCATCACTATTTTAAAAGCACAGCTTTCTTCTGCCTTGGTGTCTCAAAACACCAAGTTTTTTTTTAACTCTTTTTTTAATCATCAGCCGGGGCTGCTGCTGTTACGTTAACAAGKGAAAGCAAAAACGTAAGCATTGCTCACAAGCTGTCTTTCTCTGTGAAGCAAAAGCCCTGACCCGACCAGTGCTGCTTTATTTCCCTGCTGGCGCTGCCTCGCCGCGAGCTGCGGGCCGGAGCGGGTCCCTGTGGGGCTCTGTCCTGCAGCGTGCCCAGCCGCAGCGTGACGCCAGCACGCAGRGAAGCCTCTGCCCTGCAGCTTGGGGTGAACGTTTGCAGAGCAAATGGAACGGGACAGAGTTTGCCTATTTCTGTGCGCTTGGGCAGGCGTTTCTGTAGGTCCCGGGCCTAGGAAGCAGCAAGGAGCAAATAGCAAAGGAGCAGCGAGGAGGCTGCTGGGCGGGTGGAGGCTGCCTGTGTGGAGAGGCCGTTACTGCCCTCTGCTGCCTCCTCTCCTGTGCATTCCTCTCCATTCCTCTCTTGGGAAGTGCTGGGGAACCGGCCCGGAGCCGGCCCGGCCTCTGCGGGAGCCGCCGCTTGCTCGCGGGAACCGGGGCRGCGGAACCGGAGCGGGAACCGCGCTCGGCTCGGGAATTCCTGCCGGTGCCGCTCGTTCCCTGCTGCCTGTTCCCCAGGCAGGACCGCAGACTGGAACTGGAGCRGTTGTTGCCAGCCTGTCCAGCCGTCGCTGCAAACCTTTCCCTGCCGCTTTGTGTTCCCCCTCAGCCTTTCAGATTCTTCTTCCACTTGCAGCGAACCGATGGGATAGGAAGCGATTTTTGTCATGTCAAAATGCTGTGTCTTTACCAGCACTCTCCATTTCAGACCATCTACTAAATTCCATTTATTGCCTACTCCTAACTTTTTAATTAAAAAAAGGCAATTTTCAGGAGTTTTTTTTTAGTATGACTATTTCTATTTCTGAACAAGGTCAGAATTACGTAATCTCAGTGTAGACCTATGTGATATAGCAGCCAACTGTAAGGCGGTAGGATTTGTCTTAAATATCAGATACCCTAATAATTTCTTCCCAAAATCAGTAGTTTCCTTTGTGCTGTAGAGGAAAGGCTTCCTTGCTGTGAAAGCTGTATTAGAGTATTAGACTGTACAGCTAGTATTGGGACTGTTTCCTTCTCGTGGTAAGTGTTTTTCATGAACAGATTCCTAACTTCTGGTGTCCATTTGTTCAGGAAGTCAAAAGCTAAAGAGGTACCAAAAAAACACATGAAAAATCTGTTTTGAGAAAGATCCTGTCTGTTCATCCCTGGCACTGTAATACTTTACAAGGTCAGCTTGGGGGGGGGGGGGGGGGGGGGGGGGGGAAACACTAGGTGTTAAAACTAGAAGGATACCTTAAAGTATTAGCTTTTAGCACTGGGTACAGGTTAGAGTTGTGTTTAACTGGATCCTCTCTTGTATATTTTTAGAGTTTTATTGAGGTAGCTTTGTTAAAGACCTATCCCTTTTCCCTGGAGTGTTGCTGGTGTCCTGAAACATCCATTTTACCTTTTTTTTTTCTTTTTTTTTTTCCTTCCCTCAAAGCGAAATTAGCTCTTTTGCTGATATTAATAGCCATGAAAGTAGAGCAGCTGTTTGTCTTGTATGTTGGTGGCTGCTTTAGGTGATAGATGAGATGACAGTAAGCTTATTTGGATCTGATTTGCAGTAGTAATTTGGGAGTAGTTCCTATGTAATTGATTCTGAAACAGTGGAACTGCACCCGAAAGAAAATAGAACTACAATTTATTTGTTGGCAGTGCCACAATTTTATTAGTAAACTTTGGGGGAAACAGTGAAGAGAGGTTGATCTTGTAATAAGAACCATACATTGCACTTTTTTCTCATATCCTTTTGGATCTATTTTTAGTACAAAGAAATCTGAATTTCTCTCTTCCTGAAATGAGAGGCTGCTTGTCTAGGACTGTGCGTGTGCTGTACCCAACAAGCACCCCAAATGCTGCCTCTGTCCCTAACGTGCAGGGGGATGCGCTTCCAAGGAGCTCCTGGAGCTCTGTTTCGGTTTTGATCCTCTCATTGGATGTGCTACCTTTCAAGTCCCCAGATACGCTCATTAGCAACCTTGTCAGGAAGGTAGCTCCCTTTTTCTGTTACGCTTCTGTGTTCCTGGTATCTAACCCAGGTAAGATGCATTCGCTTTTTCTTTTTTCTTCTTTTTATGATCAAAGCACGGTTAACTTCAAATTGATGCAGCTAAGATTTCTTTTTGGGCACTCCTGTGTTTTGAAGAATCAGAAATGGAAATAGTTGCTCAGGCCGGACRGAGCTGCCACCGTAACCCCAGATTTTGGCTGGCAAACCCGTGGTGTGCAGGGCAGGTGTGAGGAGGTGGCCCCGGGCATCTGGGACTCCTTCAGGCACTTCCCTTGGTTGCCATCACATCAGCTTCTCGGCTCTAAATAGCGGCGAATCATGACTTGCCCTTTGTTTCTTTTCAGTCACCCATGGATGTATAGTCTCCACAATCAAATTATTTCTTCCAGATGGAATGGAAGCTCGATTACGATCAGAGTAAGAATAAGTATTTATTTGTGTGTGGCAAAATGAAGCTGCAGGGTAGGGAGGGTTTGTTAGGCACGGTGTTCAAAACTGAGGTAGGAACCGTTTGCTTCTCTTATACTGCAGGCAGCGAAAGTAACTGAGAGCACATCGTGAAAAGGATGATCATGAAAAGGAGATTAGTTTGATTTTAAAAATGAGGACAGTTATAAAAATAATAATAAAAAAATACCAAGCTGGGCTTTCCTGATTATCAGGGTTTCTTTACTGGACGGGGTGTTAAAGTCAGGGGGGTGTGGGAGATCAAAATCAATTGTTGTGGGAAATTTTCAGTGTAATTGCACAACCTATAGATAAATATTTAAAATAAATGTTGCCAAGTTTTAGTATCTGATGAAAATGAGCAAATATTAAACTTGCTGTGGTGAAATTATCTAAAATTATCCAAGTTAGCAAGTATTCTATTTAGTTAGCTTGTTGAATTTGTAAACAAGACTTTGCAAACAAGCAAGTCATGCATGTTTTGTGTCTGCAAACTGGTTTAAATCTTACCAAATCAGTTTTTAAAACATCTCAAATCTTACGTAGATGATGAAGTAGAGGTTGGTTAAGAGAGGCTTTCGGTATTTAGAGCAGTACCTACCATTACAAGTCAGTACAGAAGACATTTCTGTGACTTTCAAACTGCTCAGTATTGCATTGACTGTGGTTGCATGTTTGTATTTTAACGTTATATCTGATGAATGATCTTGAAAATGCGAATCATCTTCATTAAAGTCTTGCTAATAGTGCTCTTGTGGGTTTCTGAATTACCATTCTGTGCTTACTTCCTTATCTYTTTTCTTTTAGTGTTATCCATGCTCCATTACCAAGTCCTGTTGACAAGGTAACTCAGTACCGGTTTGGTGTGTTCTCGTGCTGTTTTCTGGATTTTTGAAAAGATGAGAGCATGAAGCCTGGTTACGTTTGGATGTGTCTGTCACTGGCTGATTGCTCCTAGTTTAACACTGAGTGACATTAAAGTACAGAAAATAACACAATACCCCAATTAATATTTTATYGTAGCCTGAATTTTTGCCTCAGAAGCTTACCTTTTAAAAAAAATAAGTTGTAGTTAACAATGGTTAAATTTCCAAATGTAGGTTGATGAGAAAATATTAATAGTGCCAAGCCTTAGATATTGTATAATTTGATGCTAAGAGAAATATAACCTTTTCTGTTCTGGGGCTTAAGAGCGTGTCCTGTTTCTTGATCTTGGCATTGGGATGAGCTCTGCTGTCTAGTGCCATGTTTTTTAGGGAGAAGCTGTTGGGAAGTGCTCTGGGGTGCTCAGGGAATGTCTGAGAGCCCCGGCCCCATGTGCAGATACAGAGTCATGGAGCTGGCCACAATTACTGCTGCCTTTACACTTAGTTTTGATGGTGTGGGGCACTTGTGGAAAAGCTATTAGCAGATTCACCCTTCGGGGCYTTGGGGCTTGGAGAACTTTTAAGGCGTTAGCTCGGTTGATTCTCAATTCAGAGTTGAGAAGTTCTRTCACACATAGAACAGTGATTTAAAAACACTGCATAATTTAATTTTTGTGTTTGACTAGATTGAAATGATGAATTTTTTATTACTTGAGTTCAGTGAAACATTCAAACGTCCAGTGGAACATTCATTTTGATTCTTCAGTTCTCTCGTGTTTCAGGTTGCTGCTAACACTCCCAGTATGTATTCTCAGGAATTGTTTCAGCTTTCACAGTATCTACAGGTATTTTTTTTCTCTTCACAATATGCTGTATTAGCCTAGCTAAATATTTAATCTTTGTTGAAAACAAAAAAATCTATGCTCTGTGTGTGTAAATATATATACTTGCAGTTTTACAGGAACATGACAGGCATTTAACTAACTTGTTTTTTCCAGTTGTGAAATACCCTAAAAAAACTTTTTTTTGCTGTTGTGGATGTACTATGTACATATATTTGTACATATATAAAGGTTTGCATTAAAAGGAAAGGAATCTTGAATTATGAGGCCATTCAAGTCTGTATTTCTGAACATAACTTCTCAGCCTGGGTATCTCCATCGCAYTGGGAAGGTTAAAGGAAAGGATGGTGCTGGCAGCTGTGCTTCCTCACTGGCATCACCAGCCTTTTTGTCTGTTCTTTTGCCAATTTTAATGATTCTCSCACCCCTGATTTAGATGTTACAATAACAGACAGAAAAAAGGTTAGTTTGTGAAACAGCARCACACAGCAACATCTGTGTTTGTGTATAGATCTGTCAATAAATTATATGTAGCTTCAATTTATACATTGTGCTATAGTTTGTTTTCTAGTGGCAACTTCTATGTGTTCACATCAACCCTACAGCTTTGGGATGGGGATGAACTTTTGTGTGTGTGTTTGCTGACACAGGAGGGAGAAGTTTCTGCTCGAGCAGGTTCTTGTGTTTGGAAGATTTTGTTCACCTGTCTATTAACACTTTAATGCCCATATCTTTATTTCTTAAAAAAAATCTGCTCATCTACCTTATTGGCCAAACAACCCCCTCAAATAGTAGTTCTTGCTGGCRTTTCTCTTTTGCAAGCTCCTTGGAGGACTGGCAGTTCTTTGTGTACCGACTGCCAAGCAGTCCTCTGGTAATGACAATTTTATTGCTGAAGCCATTGCCAAAAGTCRGAGTTAGTACACGCTTTGAAAGTCCTTGAAGGAGTAGCCTTTTAGTGTGTGTCCCTTCAGCATACACAACATAAGCACAAAAAAATGGAGGATTTTAGGAGTTTCAGATTACAGAACAACATTTTTCTAACCAAAATATTCAAAAAAGAATGGATGGATAAAACGAGGTGAGTGTGACGGGGTTTGCTGCTGATGCYTCCTTTTCTCTTTGGATTTAGCAATATTTCAGTATCTGTTCCTCTCTTGATTCTGTTTCCCTGAATTGTTCCAGCTGAACTGACCAGTTGGCTCTGTGCTTTCCTCCTAGGAAGCCTTACATCGGGAACAAATGTTGGAACAGAAGCTGGCAACCCTTCAGCGRCTGCTTGCTGTCACACAAGAGGCTTCCGATACTAGTTGGCAGGTATCTGAAGGCATCATTTTCCTTTGTGGACTGAAATACACAGTTGCCTATAAATTGTAATTCGTAGTTTACCATAAATCATAATAGTAAAAATAGGAGAATTATCAGATTTTTATTCTTCCTCAAATTGCAAAAGAATCATTTAATAAATGAAATACTCATCTGTAAGTTTGAAGAAACTGTTACTAGTACGCACTGCAATAAAATGAAAGTCTCTAAAGCAAATCTCTCGTCAAACTACCTAAACCACATGGTGTTCTTTTTGAAGTTATTTGTTTGTTTTGCCACTTGTCTTATTTTACATATAAAGGTGGTCCTTTTTTTCTACTAGGCTTTAATAGATGAAGACAGGCTGCTATCAAGATTAGAGGTTATGGGCAATCAATTACAAGCATGTTCAAAAGTAAGTTGTAGTTCACATTCACTTTAGTAGAATGTTAGGAATGCTGAAATACTGCTCTTCTGAAATACTTCCAAATGAGATAATTTGAGGAAAGCAGTTGGAACAGATTTTCAGGTGGCTTTGACACTGGAAGGAACCTGTGCAATTTTGATTATCTGCATAGCACAAAAACTAGCCTTCCTGGAAATCATTTATATCTAGATAAAGGCTACTTTGCAGGATTTAACTAACCCAGACTGGAAATTTCTTTTGCATATGCATGTGAACGTGTATGTCATAGAAGAAATTTCTGTAATCAGCTAAATAATCAGCTAAAGTAATMGTCACCCCTGCTTACTATGCACGTTTCTCTTCAAGTAGGGAGTTGAAAAAAGATACTATCAGAGTTCTGTCTGAGATTCAGAGACCAAATGAGAAGTAAGCTGTGGCTGGCTTGTTCTGTAGGTTGCCTGTGCCTTTGCCTTTTCTCCTTGTAACGACTTAGCTTTTCAAAACTCTTTCTGCAGGCCCTGTTTGAGTCTTTCAAATGGCATCTTTCATAGGTTTTTGGTATGTGAAATTGTAGATTTTTCTTATAGTGGAAGTTTTTCTTAATAATCAAAGCTGATTATAGAAAGTATGCTACCATAGGCACACTTTAACAAATATCTGACTTGGCATCCTGTTGTATCGAATTGTGACATTAATTTCGCCTCTAACATTTTATTATCTACCAGCAACTGCTAGATACTTTGGAATAGAACAGGTCTTACTACACTTTAATATATTAAATCAACAAAGTAGTTTATCTGTCCCTTTGTATCCAAGTTATCTTACATTGCTATTTACAGAATCAAACTGAAGACAGTATACGAAAGGAATTAATAGCATTACAAGAAGACAAACACAACTATGAGACAACAGCCAAAGAGTCCCTGAGGCGGGTCCTACAGGAGAAAATCGAAGTGGTTCGAAAACTATCTGAAGTGGAGGTATTGAAACATCCTGGCTAGTCTGGAAATGTGAAATAGTTATAATAGTTACCTAATGAGGGAGAGGAGGATATCATCATGTATAGCATGCTCTTTAAACCTTGCATGAAAGAAGACTCTTCTGACTTTCTGTACTATATCCTCTTTAATTCAGATTTTGTGGCGTGAGGGCTATTATTTAAATTAATATGATGTGTTCTCCCAGTCTAAYCCTTTTCCTCAGGCAGAAAGACGGGCTCTCTACTGAAAGGTGTCCTCTATTAATTGCAAGTTAAATAATGTAGCTTTGAASGCATGTTTCTTTAAATGTGTCTTTTGGTCTGTTCTGGTGCTGCTGGTGTGACACGAATGAAGAAATGAATCTTGAGCGAGGAGGAGGAGGAAACATTCCCTGCCACTTGGCTCTGCAGCTCGTCCCAGCTGACACAAACGGCTGCAGGAGCGTTTGTAGCTTCCTGAAGAGCCAGCTGCCTTGGGAGCAGTCCTGAGAGCATCTCAGTTTGGGTGCTGTGAAATGCAGAARACTGTGCAGAGCTCTGCTGCAGAGCCATTTGGCCTATAAAATGCTTTAAAGCTTTTTCTTGCGCTAGATGAAGGGTATGATGAAGCCTGTGAATTATATTGAATGCCCTGATTGATTCTCCTCTTTATTTCCATCAATCCCAATTAATTGTATAACTTGTATAACCTCTTTCCCCCCTTCTTTTATTGCGCACACGTGCAGCTAATGTCTCTTTGCATCGTGTGTCCTTTTAGTTAAGTGCAGTTACGAAGGTGGTGTGTGTAGATAGTACCTTTGCCAACACTTGATCTCTTTCTTTAGCCTCGATGATTAGGAACAGCAYATTAGAATATCCTTAGTTACATGCACTAGCGTAGTGAGGCCTGGAGGAATAGAATATCTTGAATGTTTTGTCATTTACTGATCTTCAATTTCTTGTTTATTGTACATCATTTATTTCTTACAGCGGAGTTTAAGTAATACRGAAGATGAATGTACTCACCTGAAAGAAATGAATGAGCGGACTCAGGAAGAATTAAGAGAATTAGCTAATAAATACAATGGAGCTGTAAATGAAATTAAAGACCTTTCTGATAAGTTAAAGGTAATCATGTAATTTTATATGATTTATAGTGAATTGTGTGTGGAGCAAAAATAAATTTAATTTCTAATGTAATAATAAAAACAAACTAAAGGTTAAGAAACTTCTTCAGCAACAATAAAAACATGTTGCACCTTTTATTTTTATGTATTGCTGAGAATTGCATTTAATGTGCCYGAAGATGTCATCAATTGTATAAATTGCTAAAAACGCTACTGGTCTCAATCTTAGACATTTTACAGTTATTGGCTGGAGGGAACGTAGGAGARTTGTTGGAAACTTCTCTGATGAACCCCTAAAGGGAACATATTGAGGCTTTCAGGCAATCATCTGTGACAATGTAAATCTAGCTTAGAAAAACTCCTTTTTTTCATTGAGGATTAGAAGTTCTGGCAGACTTATGGTGCTACTTAATTCTTGGGCCTGGCACTGTTCTCATAAAATTAGTGCACTGCATCCTTCAGATGAAAATTTAATTAAAAGATGTTTTGAGATTCTTTCTAGTATTGTGCTGAAAATGCAGCATATGATTTAGGTCATTAAGACTTGCAGGCGAGTTACTTGTAGAAATAGTCTTTTGAGTTAGTAAAAGAAACCATCCTAGCAGCTGAAGAAATGAAGGTACTGGAAAAATAAGAGTAGAAAAGTTTCACGTTGTTTAAACTTTCTTTATTTGACTATTAAGAGCAAGTTGCATATTTAATCCTACAAAAATCGAAGTAATAATTTATTAGTTGAATTTAGTTTTGATTTGTCTGTCACTTTTTTGAGCAGCTAGCGGAAGGGAGACAAGAGGAAATCCAACAGAAAGGGCTGGCTGAGAAAAAAGAATTACAGCACAAAATAGATGAAATGGAAGAGAGAGAACAAGAGCTTCAAGCAAAAATAGAAGCTTTGCAAGCTGATAATGACTTCACCAATGAACGGCTAACTGCTTTACAAGGTTAGTCACTAGCGAGGAAAAGGCTTTTATTATTTATTTCTTTTAATCTGTGAAATATCTTTTTCTTGGAATTCTGTTTACAGTACGGTTAGAACATCTTCAAGAGAAAACTCTTAAGGAACACACCAGTTTAGGTAGGTGTGATATCGGTTTCTTGCTTACAGCCGGTTTTGGGTGTATTTCCTGTTGAATTGAGTTATTTTAATTGCAGTGATGCGGTTGTGTAGGGGTTGGCGGTACCAGGACACCCGTGCAGTGGCTCTGCTGTCCCCGCGTGGCCACGTGCCGGTAGAGGGCACTGCTGCCRCGGGTGTTCACACCTCAACTTGACCCCAAACTTTACAGACCCGCTTTATATAAACATATACATTTGGCGTGGAGTATAATATATGGATGAATATGAATGTGAATATACATATAAAATATATATGCATATGCACATTACGTATAATGGGCAGCAACTTGGTGAGTGATATTTAACTTCATGTATGTTTGACCAAACATATATACGACATATAGTGCAGGAAAATAATACTAAATCCTATTGTTTTGTTTGATCTGATTTGCTGCTAGTTAGGAAAGAGGAGGCAATGTGAAAAGCCGACCCTGCTGTACTGTCTGTACTGCTGTCACAGTGCTGTACTGTTTAAAAACAAGAACCCYTTCCTTCCCCCCAAATTATTTTCACTTGGTTCCAGAAATAATACCCTTTCTTAATCCTAGGCATACAAGTTGACGACTTCATACCTAAAATTAATGGGAGCACAGAAAAAGGTAGTGTATCTTAAAGCTACCTTTTGTCTTACAGTTAATGTTTGAACAAATTCTTYTTGTTCTCTAAATGTTTTACTTTCAGTATTTGTTAACATTGTCCTGCAAAACTAAATCAGAATTGCTCAGAACAATGGACAGTTCTTTTTTCCTTAGGCCCTTAGTCTAGATGTTTTTAAATTAGTCTGTAAAAGCTAAGGGGCCAAATTTGGAAGTCGTCTCGCTGCGTGTGGGTGTCTTGTTGTTTTTGGGGACACCTACAGGCATCAGCGCCTGTCTGCTGAATGGGGTCAGACCGGTGACACCAACGGGAAAACTTCCTTTGACTTTTCCCCCCTTCTCAGTTTTATTTTCTCTTGCAACACAAATATTGTAGTGTTTTTTAGTAGATCAGGTTATAAATCCAGGATARTCTTTATTTTTGCTACATATGCAGGTCATCTGTATGTAAAGTCAGACCTCTAGCCTATTTTTAAAAAGACAATAGCCTGAAATATTTTGAGCCACGATGCATTTAGAAGCTTTTGGAGAAATGATGTAAAGTCTAAGATAATATTTTCCCTGCTTTTTAAATAACTTTTGGATGACTAAGCTTCATTAGAGCACTGTGCAGTGTTTCGGATGGGAATGCTTTAAAAAGCTTGAGTGAGCTGGTGGGAGACGTTACTATGATAATGTGGACAGTTTGCGTCATTTCATGAAGCCTTCTGCTGTTTCTAACTGAGGTTCTTTCGTTTTCTTTGTAATGCAGGCTTATTTGCCTTTACTTACGGCGTGGTGCTTTAGTTATGGTAGTAAAGCCTTAAAATTTTCAAAGCACAAGTATTCTGAATGCYGTGTTTAACCCAGAGCCTTCCAGATAAGGTCTAAACTCAATAAAACAAAACAAAACCTTGATTAGCTAAAATAATTTTGTCCCCATGTGTTCATTCTAAATTTCTCCATGGTGTAGCTATTTTTGACCCCTGCCGTATGTTCTCAGACAGTGAAGCTGCTGAAGACTGATCGTACGTCTTGGGTGGTAGAGGCACTTTCTGGAGAGAACTCGTAGTTTGGATGTGCTCAGYATTGGTAGTTACTGTCCACGTTTCAAAACAGAATTTAAAGCTTTCTGGGCTGTAATTCTAATCTCTTTATTCTTTTTTGTTCTGAAGACAGCATGGCTTCACAAGGACATTAATGGGAGAGTAAAACATAAGTGTAAGGAGCTAATCATGGTRTAACCTCATATCTATTTCTAATTTGGTGCAGAAGAGAAATTTCTTAAGCAGTAACAATCCAAAACCCTTAGTTTAAATACTAGCTAATGCTTAATGTCTCAGCATTTCAGACCTTTACCATTGTGTGTGCTGATATTAGCAAGCAAGAGGCCTGGTCTCCTGCATTCTGAATTGCTTTTGCTTATTCTTTGGTCTACCAGGCCTGGTTTTCTGGATGGATTGTTCTCTCTTCATGTTCTGTWATTTCAGTTTTGTAGTATTTGTAATACTTTATGAAATGGTTAAAAATAGATTTGCCGTTAACTTTTTTTTTTAATTTTTCATATCAGAAGATATGCAGAGTTACCCTAAGAGTAAAACTGAAGTACTGACCAGGAATTGTGACCCTTTATTCTAATTATGTTAGCTGTAGAAAGACTTGGAAAATTAGGTGGGTTTTTTTTTTGAAGAAAGCAGATGGTACTTTGAATACAAATAGCTTAAAATAGAAAAGAAATATTAGGAAAATACTTTCAAGTGCAATTATATATTATTATATATAGAAACAACTGATAATATCACACTGAAGTTAAATGGCTATTGCCAAAACTGAAGTTAGTGGCTGTTAATTAGGAACTGAATCATATGCCTGCATTCCAGTTACTGAGAGTAACAGAAGAGTTTGAGCTTTTATAACTGCGCCCGGAATCTCCTTGTTAACGTTTTAATACTGCCACCTCTTACCAATATAAACTTGCAAGTGTCCAAAAAGGAGTTCAAAAACCAATTATTATGAGACTATAATGAATAAATACCGAAGTACCCTTTTTTTGTGCATGTTTGTTGACTTCCATCAAAGGTGGCGAATGGATCCAGTTTGGTAGGGGTCGGGTCGCAGAGGGGTCGGAGCGCTTGGGYGGCCGCGGATGGCTCCGTGCCGCCGCCGGGCCAGGCTCCTGCTCCCGGCCTGGGCGCTCTGGGCAGGTGACTGCCCGTTTCTTTTCCTGGGTGCACACGGGCAACACAGAGCTGTYCATTCAACGTATCACTCAGTGTGTTTATAATAGTCCCTTGTTTCCTATGTCCGTGCCGCYCTGCGCGGGCTGTTCCCGTGTTCCCTGAGCACCGGCGTTCCCGCGTCCCTGCGGTGCCAGCTCCGTCCATCTTGCTCCAGCTCCTCGGGATCGCTGCCCGTGCTCTCCTCGTGACAGGCTGTGCGTCTCCTGCCCGCCCGGCCTCTCCCCAGCCCTCCCGTGCCCACACACGGGCACTCGCTGGCTCTGCCAGAATCTGCATTTTGTGCTCTTGCAAGCGGTAGGAGGCAGTKACTATTATTTCCTTGGTAGTTTCATATAATGTCAGAAGAGCAAAGGATTTGGCGTGCAACGTAGATCCTGCTCCGTCTGCGGCGACGGGGCCTGCAGCTCCGTAACCTGCAGGGGAGCTCGGCGCTGGTTCGCTCCGTCTCCGGTTGCACTATTTCAGTTGAACGCCACATCCATAACCTGAAAACGAGAGGCTAGATTTTTTTTCCCTGTATTTTTGTAAAATTGATGAGCTCTTGAGGTCAAAGGATTTGGGGGTCCTTCAGAAAGGAAATTAGTGCCACTTTCTCAGGGAGGTTTGAGATCCTGATGGAGCTGGGAGCTGAATGAGTCACACAGGGACTTGAGCAAGGCTGGGAACTGAGCCCTGTTTTACCACAGAGCTGTCCTTTCAGACATCAACTATTGTTTTGGTGCAGTGCGAATTCCTTTAATAAGGAAGGGAAATATTTAGCAGTGCTTTAAAAATAAATATACTTGCATTTCAAGAAGGCATTAAATACAAAAACTAATGCAAAAAACAGAGGSAAAAACTTAAGCATCCTTTTAAAGCTAAGAATAAAATGCTGAAAAGTAAAGGTTAAATACCTTTCTTGTTAATGCTTGGGTTCACCTCTTGAAATCATTGATATCTGATTCTGAATTAASAACTGGGAACAACTAGTGACTTCAGTGCTATGGAGTTGCATGTCAGTGTATCATATTATGTATTCTAAATTTACTGTAACTTAAATATCACTCCTGTGCATTAACATTCTTGACAAAATCTGAAGGGGATAAGAGGTTGCAAAGTTAACTCTGTCCTTACTAGAGCGCTGTCTTTGCGGAGAGGTGAGGACTGCACCAGGACCTAGAATGTCAGGGTTCATCACATTTGCTTTAAAAACAACAAAAAATGGTTAAGATTTATCTGATTGTTATGTAATATTTTAGTAGTAACAGAAATGTAAGTATAGAATTTGTGACATTGTGACATTAAGCAGATGCCCGTACTAGTACAAGTACATCCTTGCCCTTGTAAAGTGATCTCATTCGGCGCTTAGCAGTTAATCCAGCACTGCTTGCTTTTGACCAGTAAAAGTGCAGGAACGTTGCTACGTGGTGTCTCCAACCAAGTCTAACTTTTCATCAGTGTCAAATTAAAAAGTTAAAATCCTAACTCTGACAGTTTAAACAAACATTACAGGCTGCGCTGGGACACAGATGAGGTAATGATGGCTTTCCTCCACTTCTCATTATTTTTTTCTGATAATTACTTATTCTTACATATTTTGTGTGTTCTTTAATTTGCTGTTATGAAGAGCAGTAGAGAAAACAAGACCTTATTTTTTTATGTGTTGATAGAAAGATTTTTTTTTAAGAAAATTTAATACAGAGCTATAGTTTTATTTAAAATAAYCTTAAACTTTATTCAGCACATTAAAATGAGTCGTAGTTCAATGTTTAGTCTAAGAAACTTCTTTCTTGGGCTGAAAATGAAGTGATGTTCAGCTATAATTTAACTGCATGCTGGATGTTCCCTTACCTGTGTTGCCAARGCTGTGTTGGTCGGTTAGCTCTGCACACTGAACTGAACACTCGTGTCACTAATGAGAAGGAAAAGCAACCATCAGGATCTAATAAAAACTTCTAACACGCGGCTTAAGGAGTAACAAGAGGCAAAAGTAAAGATGGATTTATTTATACCTCCTTTCTTGGGAGACTGGAAACCAGCCTAAWGACACTCAGAGGTCTGATTGCCTTACTTTAAAAGAATTAATAGTAACTAGTTATTCTTAGTAACTATAGTTACTATGGTAACTCAGTTAATTTACTAAAGAATAAAGAATCGTAAAGAATTTAAATTAATACATTTATACCTTTTGGTAGCAGTGGAAAATTGCACTTTCTAGACAAGGAAGGAAAAGATGTCAAGTCAGTAGCTTGTGTTCTTGTTCAGTTCCTTTCCCAAATACAAGTATCCTCAATCATAACCTCAAAATCATAAGGTTAAAAACAAGCAAATAAAAAACCAACAGAAATGAAAAGCAAACCCCAAACTGCTTGATACTAATTGTCATCTTGATTTTGTGCATAAAAGCTGCACATGAGTCTGACTTTCTTCTCCAGCAGCAGTGAAGAGCAGGAACTAGTGGACTTGGTGAAAGAATTGGTAGTTTCAGAGAAAACAGCAGCTAGAGTTTTAAGATGTGTGCAGCGAATTGTAGGTGTAGGTAGGCAGGAGTATAGACGGSTCATGGGATACTCTGCTGTTTTGTTTTCAGAGGTTTAGGCTTCTCCAGGGTTTCCTTGGAAAAGGAGCATTTTTTTTTCTTAAAATAAAAGTGACTTGCATTGGAAGCAGACAATAAAACTATAGGGGCTGTAAAGCTYTAGGGGATGCAAGAAGAGAGGAGACAGCCACGTCCGTCCGGAAGAGAAGGTTCAGTCTGCTGCTTGCTCAGAGGAAGGTGCCCTAGAAGGATGAGGAAGAGGAAGATTCATAGGGTTTGGGGAAGAAACGCTTAAATTGGGAGGAAGCAAGCAAGAGAAAGGGGAAAAAGRTGCATTGAATTAGGAAATGAATCACTTATAATACCACGAAAAGGAGAAGGAAATGATAAAATGTAAAAAAGACTATTTTCTGTGTTTTGTATTATGTATATTCTGGTTCTAAGTTACAGAATTGTGAAGACTCCAACTTCCATCCACTCCTGATGTCAAGCTTTGTTCCATAAAGCGATTGCAGAAGGCTTTTTTGAGCTACCAGCTAACGCAGCCGAGGGCTTCACACCCTGTGCGTCAGGCGGTTGGTAGCCGCCCTGGGTGCAGGTTTTCTCAGTCAGCTTGTTCTSTGGCCCGTGGGCTGGATTCCTCCGTCGCGTCCTTGCTGCCGTCCCTCTTTGCCCCGTGSAGCCTTAGCCATGTGCTGGCGACAGGGATCTGTGTCTATTCCTGTCCGCGGGATGGGGCTGAGAATGCCTGGGAGCTGCTCTGGCCGCAGAGCCCCCGACCTCCCCAGCACTCCACAGGGACCGACCGGCCGGGGCTGAGCCCTCCTGCAGGCCCCRAGACCGGAATGCACTCCTGGAAATGCAGAGCACAGCCCAGCACGTTCCTGAGGCGGCGTTTGGAGAAATACTGCGGAAAAGCCAGGACAGTGTTTGTAGCTAGGTGGAAGAGCATCTGGTTTAGCAAGGTTGGGCTTYCTGGGCAGGGCAAGAGAGACGAGCTGTTCCCGGGTGAACCCTTTGCGGACACTGCGTTTTGTGTCTTTGGCAGCTTGTTGCTGTGTGCAGCGAGAGTTGGGAAGAGGTGTCCATGCAGCCCTTGGCCTGTCTGTGCTGGGCGCCGTGGCTGCAGAGCGGCCCTTCGGAGCAGCGAGGCTCTCGCCCCTCGAGGCCGCTGGAGCCTGGGAGCGCTGGCAGGAGTYGCTGCTCTTGTGGAGGCGTTTGGGAGACGTGCTGGCGCCGGGGCCGTGCGCTTTGCCCGTGGCGTGGCCCGTTATCCGTGAGCAGCCCCTGCTTCCCCGCCGGGCGGCGGGACGGCTCGGGGGGCAGTTCAGCCAGGTGCCAGGGTGCTAACGGCCCCGGGACACCCCRACAGTGCTGCAGGGCCTCGGGGACGTTGCTCTGAAACGCAGGGAGCTGCAGCGTGACCCTCCATGCTGGTACCGCCAAGCTGTTGTCAAGGAACTCGGGTTGTTATTGTTTGTTGCTGCTGTTGTTAGGACGTTTCCTTAATTACTTGTTCCCTGGGTGCCTCTCTGTTAACCCGTGCCGTTGTCCCTCRCCCATGCTGCCTGCCTTCGTGTCGCAGCCGCTGTGGCAAGACGCCAGCGACACGCGGGCAAATCGCTGCTCTGGTTTGAGTGCTGCCCTTGCGTACCTGGCGGGTAGTGCGCGCCAAGCGGTGTAAATTAAACTGTGCATCCGAAGGGAACGAGTGAATGAATGAACAGCTTTCCGTGACCCTGTGCAGCTCCCCAGAGTTTGAAGCTAAGCAGGCTAGTGCTGTGCATCTCCTGAGCGCCGGGCTGCGGTGTGTGGAGGTGCCCTCTCAGTTTCTGGCTTTGCCTTGGGGTTTTCTAGAGTTTTTGCTCAATCGGGTGGGGATMTGCTTTGGGCATCCACCATTTAGAGACCCTTTATCAGATTATTGCTGTTGTTGCAACTCTGAAAATGTATTAATTATTTGTTGGTCCCAGTTACATAAACGAAAGTCCAGAAAAATAATTTTCCATACCCTTTCATTAGTGAACTGAAGCATTTAATATGTCAGTTACTTAATAACCTGCCAAGGAAATAATTAGGCACTTTGTCACAAGCTTCCAGCGGACTCGTGTGCTCTGTTTCATTATTTCCTGCCAGAATAAAGTTTTTGTTCAGGCCTCCGAAGGAAGTAATATTATCAGCTTTTAATTTGGGCATGGAATGTAGTCTGTGTGGATGCGTACAGGGAAAAGCTTGCTTGCTTTGAGCTTGGAAAGTAACACTTATTTTGTTTGGCAGACAAGATCATAGACGAGGGACATCTAACCAAACTGGAAGAAAGAAAGCTTTTGAAAGGTTAGACTTTTGGATTATTTAATTGTTCTTGAAGCGTTTTCTTTCCTGTGCTTTAATGCATGCTTTAACTTAAACCAGCAGTTTGACTTTTGTTGGGTATTCATTTAGAGGGAAAAAAAAAAAAAAAAAAAGTTTGTGAAAGAGAAGTATATGATTTACTGCTCCTGATACTGTCTTAGGGTAAGGAGACTTTAAGGACAGATCATGATTTTTGCAAGTTGACTTAAATCTTCAATTCCTGAATAAATTTCAGACAGGTATTGTTCTTTTTTTTTTGTAAGAGAAAATAAGATAGAATTTTTGGTCTCACTTCAGTGGTGAATGAAAGTATATTTTAATTTGACTTTTTTTAACTTAACACCTTAACAATTTTGAAAATCACTGTTGAAGTCCTAAAACTGAACTTTGCAAGTGGGGAAACAAAAAGCCTCTTATTTCCTGTATGAAATGTGACGTACGAGGATCTGATATAAAAAGATTGTAAGGTTGTTTGGACTTAGAAGCTGACTCTGCATCTGTAGTTTTTCATTAAYAGTTTGACATGTTAACTTATTTCTTTAACTTCTGTCCCCCTGCATAGTGCTGTCGTATTGAATAAATGTTAGCTTGTTTTTATGGTACTTTAGAGAATTTTATTTATCCCATAGTTTATATGTGAAATTGCACCTTTAACGTGTTTGTGAATAAGCTATAGACGCCACGTGCCATATTTGGCCAAAGAATGCATACGATAACTGCAGCTTAACGCTTGCCTGCCTGTCCCGTGCGGAGCGCAGAGCTGCTTTTAGCACTTGCTAACGCACTCTTAACTCATCCAGTAACCATGATGTCAACACATTTCAATATACTTCATCATTTGGGCTATATTTATTCAGCTCAGTTTTATTATGGGAACAGGGACAACTGCTGTGAAATCATATATTGCAGGAGAGTTGTGCTTGTGAGGGTGCAGCAGAAAGCTCAGCCTGGAGCCYGCCTTGGGAAGCAGGTTTCACAGCCCTTTCCCTTTCCCATCCTGRTGTTCCTTGCTCCAGGAGGAGGAGAAGAGCTGGGGTACCCAGGCCAGGGGGCGGGAAGGCAGGGGGTTAATTCAGCCTGAGCAGCCTGCCCTGTTCCTCCCCTTGTGCACGAGCAAGAAAACTGCTTCCCTGTTTGACCAGATATGGTCAAGTTGGCTGGACACTGACACGGCTCGTCCCGTCTCGGCGCCTCTGCGCTGGCCCTGGTGCAGCCTGCATGGGTGAGGCTATGGGATATACCTTCCTCTAGGCTTTGCATGGGAGAGATTTACATGATTCGATGAGCAGGACAGCTTTAATGGCAATCTTGTGGGCTGGATTCTATTAGATATGTGAATAAGGCTTTGTATCATAACATTTTTAGATATTAGTTAAAAATTTTATCCATAAAAGAGGGGAGCACTCYGCTTCTTTCAGTAAAGAATAGCAAAACATGAAATTTTTAACTACTATTCCAGTCATGCCATTTGCAGTCAATTGAATGACGTGTTGGGAATTGCTGCCAGGCCTGAGCCCCTAATGTGCTTTAAATGGGTGATGYGTGTGTGTGTGTGCGCGTGTTCTCCTTCCCTCTGGTGATTCCAGTTGCATTTAAGGTGGGAACAGAATCTGCCTTCCGATCAGCTCCTTCGTACTTGCTGCCTTCTGTGTTGTGTGCAAGTGGATGTTATTCTGGTGCAAAGGAATATCAAACTTCTCCTTTTCATGCTAGATAACGAAAACAGTGTTTCTGGTATTTTTTTCTATTAACCTGCTGTGTTCTCACTGATTTCCCAGGGTATGTGCACGGGTTGTTTTCAGCTCCAACTTCTTTCGTTGCAGAGAGGCTTAGCTCRGCTTGTTCTCTCATTACTCGTAAAAATAACAAGCTTTCTCAGTACTACTTGCTTGACTGTATAATTTCCTGTACTAATCCTGTTGTGTGTTACTTTTTTGCATCTGCAGTATCTCTGTGTGGAGAAGCTATTTGTGCTCATGCTGTTCTGCGTGTGTAGCCAAATGAAGTGTTTGYGCTGTGTGGTGCGGGTGGGTGCGTTGTAGCGGTGCCGTTACCTGGCCCCGAAGCATCCCCACACCCCACGGATCCGGGGTTCGGCCGCAGCGGTGCCGAGCTGGGCCGGGCACGGCCAGCCGGGAAAGCCGCGTCCCGCGGAGCCGGCCCCGCGCGGGCGACGTGGCCGTCGCTGCAGACCCGTGTGTGGGAAAAGAGCAATTAGACTAACGAAGCCCCTTCCGTTTTGAAATTACCTGTTCTCCGTTAAGAGTATATCACAGCATATACAAGAGGTGTYGCTATTATTTTATTTGTCTGAAATTCTAAATTATGTTTTTTTTGCTTGCAGCAGCTTCTTTCTGACTTTTCACAGTCCCTGCGTTGTTCTAGGTTTCTCCCGTTTGTTCCCTGAATGATTGAATAAAACAATAGACTTTTACACTGAGTTCCAGCTGGCAGGAGTACAGCTCTAAACAAAAGTTCAAGCTGTGTGTTAGGCAGTCGCATCCCGTGGTAGTTGCACGGCCAGATTAATGGTTTTAGTCAAACTGAATCCAGTTGGGTGCAGAACTGTAAAGCAAGTAGCAAACACCAGGTTTGAAGTATCCCAGTTTTGTTTGCCTTTTTTTTTCCTGTTAACATTAAGCAGTAGATAGCAGAAATTATGAATAAGGAATTCATTTCATTTGAGTCTCCTCGTCTCTTGCAGAGAATCAGGCGAAAGTGAAGGAGTCAGATTTATCAGACACTCTGAGTCCAAGCAAGGAAAAAAGCAGTGACGACACTACAGGTAAGCGTTTAATTGAGGCTTCTGTAATATTGGATTAACTTGAATTAAATAACTTAATCATGAGCTCTCTTGTCAGAAGAGAGAATGTTTCTATTATGTGGAGCCAAATGCAAGCTTAAAACAATATTATGTTGTGTATTTTGCAATTTTGTGATAACTTTTTAAAGTAAGGAAACTGTCAAGGATTCTCTTTACTCAATGTGTGTATGAAAATGTGTGCAGTCTACTCTCTGAAAGGTTTTCTTCTTTCAGATGCCCAAATGGATGACCAAGAACTAAATGAACCAATTGCTAAAGTAGCTCTTCTGAAAGGTAAACATATATTTTCACTTAAATGCATAATCTTTTTATATATCTTTCTGTCTACCTGTATTCTTGTCGAACATATGTACACCTCTGAGCGAACAGTGCTGAAATTCAAATGTTTTAGATCACAGTAACATGCAAGTTTAATCTCGTTAGTGATTCATTTGGGTAATATAAAAGCATACTGCTGAGTTCTAGGATAGAAGCTTGCCTGCTTCAAGCTAGTTTCCTGTGCTCCCCAAGCTTGTTCAGGGAATTTACYGGCCACTTGAAGCACTGTTCACAGACTGCCTCAGCTTGCACTCGAGGGCGTCCTTAGCGGTGGAGGGGAGGGATTGCTCCATCACTGGCCGCTGTCATAGGCTTCACCAGATGTTACCTGAGGAGATGGTTCTCATCTAACCCAAACTTCAAAGGTTATTTTTGTTTGTTTTTCARTAAGGATGTACTTGGTAGTAGCAAGCACTACAATAGAGTCATTAATATAGTAATAGTCAGCCTTTCTAGATTTTTCTATCTTTGTGGATTCCTTAAAACCAAAAACAAAACAAAAACACAAGTGCAAGTGAATGCTCTGATGTGAAGGCTGTTGAAACTGGACTTGATTCCTTAGTTATCTTTTGCAGACACATTAAAAGTAGTGCAAGGACCTCTCAAGCTGAAAACCAYTGATGAGTGAAGCACATACAGATATGGAATAAATATTATAGAACTTGCCTAAAACCGCACCACCGGTTAACCTTCTTGTCTTGAACTGAACTGGAGGAGAACAACCTCCRAGAAGGTTTTGGGAGTGATTTAAACAGAAATTGCTGAGTTCTCGATAGCGTTTTCAAATCTACTGATACAATTAAAAAAAAATACTGATATTAAAAGGAAGGAAAGGTTAGTGTTTTCAAGGGATTAAAAAAAAAAAAAGGCTTAATTGAGGATCTCTTTCTTGTATTACTGCTAACAATCTGATCATACATGAGAATTTTCCATGAGCTATGATGAATGAATGAAGGATTTGGGACTGTTGCGTATTTGACCTTCCCTACCACGTAGTTGCAATTAATGATAAAACTCCTTAGACTTCTCTGGGAACAGTTAGTCCAATGTTGAATATGTCTGGAAATGGCTCAAAGACTTTAATTGCAGCTCTCTGTATTGCTTCTCAAGCCAGTTTTCATGACTAATGACATGTGAATTTGCTTCTGGAGGGAACTAATTCTAAGCCCAATAATTAGTAGTAGGCCTTTTATTTACGAATAGAACAATCCTATTCACTAAGGAGAATTCTTACAATTTAGAGTTGGTGCAAGAATGATGTTCCCTTTGCACTATCAAATACACCATTAGATGGATTTTGTGTTTGTGTAATTATTAAAAAGCTGTTTTTTTTTTCCAGTGTTGCTTGCACTTTTCTTGGCCTTATTTTTACAAGTAAACCAAGCATATGGGAATTGCTGTATTGCATTTGAGTAGGAAAGAGTTTCTACCTTGACGCAGGCAGTGCCTTCCCTCAGTCTGTTAGGCTGTCCCATAACCTGAGCTTTTCATCCCCTTTGAAGCAGCATTACCTTTCATGATGGGTTCCTTCACTGATTGGAAACTACTGTCCTCCCAAAGGTCATTTGGGATTCTTCTTGTTCAGATACTATATTCATATTGTTCATTTGGGACACTGCTGCTTTATCTGCATGATTGGAATGTAATTTGTCAGCTTCCTCGTCCATTTCTTCTCAACAGTCTCATTAAGGATTGAAAGTTTAATTGCCTAAAGCAACTTTATCCATGAGGAGCTAAGAACAAAACGTCTCGATAAAGAGAAGCTTGGATTTGGAACTCTTAATAAACCATGAAAGAAAGTACTTGGATGGAATACTTAGTGCTCTTTGTTCGTTGTTGTTCTCAGTTCTTTCCAGAAGAGCCCAAACCACGTGCATACGTGCACGAGTCCCCTCCTTGATCCCACCACTTCATCACTGTGAGAACAGGAGAACCATAACCTCTTAGATACTGTACTTTAGCATGATCTGTTCAATAACCAAGAAAAACCATCCTAAAACTTGCTTTATTCCCGACAGCAAGTCAAACGTGTGTCAAAACTGCAAAGACAGGAGGTGGAGGGCAGGCCTGGCGGGCAGCGAGCAGCAGCCCCTGCGTAGGYGCTGGCTTTGCCCGCTCCGTGCCGGCAGCCTGGCCGTGCACGGACCTGTGTCTGCAGCTCCGTGTGCGCTGGGCACCGCAGGGGAGCGGGACGGGAGGAGGAGGAGGAGGCTGAAGGGCYGYGGGGCACCAGYGTGCGCTCGGAGGGAGGCTTGGAGTAGCTCCCTTCCYGCGTGCCCAGGCTGTATCTGCCAGCCAGCATTGAGGTCTTGCACTTCATTTACATGGATACCAGCCTATATTTTTAAATACAGACTCTTTTGTTCTTTCTGTATTTTACTGCATGGTAAGAGTAATAAATGTTTTGAATGTTGCATYTGCTTTCCGTCTTTTAAAGGTATATTAATATCTTGCTAATATTTACCTAACAAAATTTGGTGATTAATTAAACTAACTCTGGATGGTTAGARTAGAAAGTGAGCAATCTTCACGTGGCAGTGCAAATAAAACTGTTGTACAAATTCATGCTTTAAAGAAAATATTCTTTTATCAGATGAATTGCAGGGTGCACAATCAGAAACTGAGGCTAAGCAAGAAATTCAGCAACTGCACAAGGAGCTGGTTGAAGCCCAAGAGCTAGCTAAAACAAGTAAACAAAAATGCTTTGAACTTCAAGGTGAGATCCAGATCAACTTGATTTTGTTAGGGTACYCATTAAAACTGTCTTTACTAGGGAATCCTAGGAGGGTCTAGTTATGCTGTCTGTGCTAGAAATAACTTTGTTTTTACAGTGTCTCTTGCACAAGCACAACTTGTGAATTCTTACACGGAATGTCAGAAACTTATTTTTTCWGATTTTGTTTTGTGTAAACTACAGATAGAGTTAGATCAAGCTGTGATTCTGTGAGTCAATATCAACCAGCCTGCTTTTTGTAATGTATCAGATTTATCTGTGTAGTTAATATTTCATYATCAAAAATATATTTATTGGTATTAATTAATCACAGTGTGCTAAGTGGTCATTTGTTTGGKTTTTTTTTTCCATCATCCTACCATCTTGCAGCTAGACCGTCTAGCTGTCTGAATGGCTGCAAAGCTGTTTGCAGGTTGTCTTTAACAGGCAATAGCATAGCCTGGTTTAATCACCTCTTGTTCAATGTTCTTCCCGGGAAAGCTTTACAGCTTTTATTCTTTCCCAGACTGCATTCAGCATACACTGAGTTTTTGCATCAGGCAACTGATTGTATTAATTCCAAATTAATTGTAATACTACCAGAATAATGGAATAATGTTTTGAATATTAACTTTTTCTTAAACTACTTACATAATTACTGGCTTTGATAACTTACTGGAGTAAACTGACTGTTTTAATTGTCTCAGTTATGGGGAATTTGTGACTGTGATTTACCACAAAGCTGAAATACTTTTTGCTAACAAAATCTTTGGACCCGTTTTCATTTTAGCACTATTAGAAGAAGAGAGAAAAGCATATCGAATGCAAGTTGAAGAGTCCAACAAGCAAATAAATGTTCTGCAAGGTATGAAACATTTTTTTTTCCTACCCTGTTTTTTAGGTCTTAGGAAAACAGYTTTTACCAGTAATGGGCATCATAAGCACTAATGAAAGAGAATGTTAATTGCATATGTTTTAAAACTGTTTTTTTCAGATTTCAGAATGTATTATGAAACATTTCTTATGTCTCTAATCATAAATTAAAAAATGCGAAAGATGCCGTGTAATCCATAGCATAGTCCTTTCTCCTTTSTCTCCTCAATCTTTCATCAGCTTTAACTGATCCAGAGATTCCTACTGTGACTATTGTATCTCCTTAATGAACGTTCAGAATATTCAGTCTCTTTGGTGGTATCCTAGCTTTTTGTTTTACAGAAAATTCTCCTAAATGATTTTTAAGCACTGCAGATGTACATTCAAGCTCAGAGTTTGCAATAGAATTTCCTGAAGAACAGACAGGCTCTGCACAACCCCTGTGATCACGATCATGCTCCTTGCAGCCCAAAATAACTCTTGTCAGGATGGAATTGTGTGATTTACACATCTTCTGTGTCACAAGTTAGAAGTTAGCACTTCGCTAGCTTGGAAATGGCACGTTGACAAGATTTTGTGATGAGCAGTCAAACTGATGGCTTGGTTTCCAATGGGCTTGTAGGAGGCTCTGGAGAAGCAGATGTATCTTTGTTGTTGCTGCAGCTTCTCGTGACGCCCCAATATTTAAAATCTGTGCTGGCTTTTAGTTCTCTGTCTCATCTGGTGGCTGTGTGGCAGTGGGAGCGCGTCCTGCACTTGCAGTGACCTGCCCGTCCGCTTGTCAGCGTGTACAYGTGAGCACGGCAGAGGCTTTCCAGCCTTGAAGTCACTGCAGGTATATGAAGTCGCTAAGGGTTATATCACAACCGTGAGCAGGCAGCCAGATGGAATGAAAACATAAGCTCATAAGCCTCATTTTCTGAGGAAATCGAGCCAAAGTAGCCTGAGCAAACTGTTGTATGGGTGCTAGTTTGTGGTCTGTGCTCGTAGTCACGTGCCAGTTACACTCGAGAAGCCTGTGCAATAACTATTTTATGAGTGTCAGCAAAGGATATTTGCTGTTTCCTGTAAGAAAAGGGTGCTAACATAACCTTCCTGTTCAAAACCAGAGGAATCGCTTTATTTTGTGCTCCTAGTATGCAGAAAACTCCAAAGAACCAATTTTGCAGCAGGATACACATCGGGATATTTGGTGGTTACATCTATATAGAGGGGAAAAATGTACATCTAAACAGAGCCACCCTATACGATGGCTCCTGTTGGTCCCGTACTRTGTGGTCACCTGAGCCCTTCCCACGTGAGGGGAAGGGTTCCCATCTTCCTCTCCCCTCGTTTCTGTGCAGTTCAAAACAGTCTCATATTGTATGTTTGCGCCTTCCCAAGCTTGCAGGATGAGACATATCTCACAGTGGGAAAAGCTGTCCTAACACCGGCATTTTCTCTTGGCAGCCGCCGGGAGCTTAGTGAGGAGGGGGAGAAGAGAAGGCCAAAGCTTGCAGCTTCATGCAGGAACATTTCTTGGGCTCTTTCCACGGCATCACCACCTTCTGCCAACCAGTACTTACATGGCTTACGCATTTGACATAGGGAAGACAGGAGAATGCCCCCAAAACAACTGAGATCTTGTCTCTACGTGTGGCGCTCSCTTTAGATGGATGAGGAAATTCTTGTAGCTCAAGTAACTAGTCATTACTCCTTAAAAGTCAAGCGTTCAGTTTAGATGAGGTAATGGCTTATTTAGTAAGAGATGTAATGGAAGTTTTCTTTCGGATTCCTCTTTGAAATAATATCCAGTACTTTAGGAACCATTCCAATATTTTTGGTAGTATTTTTTCTGTGTGAGTTATTCCTACAAATCCACCAAAATTGAGAGATGTGTGTATATTTTTTTTTGGATTTTCAATCGTGTTATGCTTATCTTCGTGCCTGAGGGTTTAAAGGGAGCATTGTTCATCATCARTGCAGACGGAAGAAAATGGAATTATCCTCAAAATAACGTCATTACTGAGTAGCAGGAGCTCCATGCGGCTTGATAAAGAGAGGAGAAAGAAGATAATGGTCTAAAAAAGTTGCACCTTGGTTTTTTAATAATAACACTTTTGCAGTGTTAGCAAATTCTTGGTGTTCTAGAAACTGGTTATTTTCTGCCGAAATGGTTTGGTAAGTTCAAAACTTCTAATGTAATAATAGATGGGAAAAAGGTAATTGCTAATATTCTGCTGTATTCTTCAGGTTTTTTTCAGCTACTACCTTATTTTGCTATTTTGGTAGCGTAATCCTGTAGAAAGCATTTCCAAGCCAATGAAATGTATGTGAGCAACATGAAGCTTACCACCATTTAAATATCCCTCTAAATGTCTTTATTATGGAACAAATGGGTTATGGAACATGGACATCAAAAAAAAAAAAAATCCTTTAGGATCTATAGTAGCTTTCATTTAAAAAAGATGTTTTGCAAGGGCAATAGCATAATTATATTACTATTGCCTATTTTCCTTGCCTTATTTCTCCTCCAGAGTTTAAAGCCATGTTATTTCATAGGTTCCTTAGTTCATCTAATGAGCTGAATGTGCTGTGGGAGCCTCTTTTAAGGAAAAAGTTGCCTTTTTCTGTCTCATACTTTCACCATCAACTTGGAGAGTTTCTGTATTGTATTGTATATGGCACTGCTGGAGAGCGTCAAGTATCCTGAATAGGTGTCACGAAARTGGATGTCTCTGGAGTTGTTCTTAACCTGAATCAGTTGAGAGCACAGCTCACATCTTTGTCTTCAGTAATGGATGGAGAGACCAAGCATAAATGGCAGAAATCTGATGGCTGCTAATGCTGTCCATGGCCTTTGCTTGCCCCTTCCTTAGAGAAGAAAAGGTGTAACTTCAAATGTGCAGCTGTCACCCTCTAGGGTAACTTATGTGAGGGATCCAACTGATGTTAAGAATGAGCTTCTCAATTTTTTATCTCAAAACAAGTCTCTGTTAATTTAGTAATTGCCTTTTCCATGTTGAAAAGCAGTGAAATACAATGCACTGTGAATAATTGATCTTCTTTTAAAAAAAAAGAAAGGCAAATGGGAAGAGAAAGGCAAATGAAATAGTTTGCTTCTCTCAGTTGCCACTTGAGCTCTACCTTTAGTTCTACTTAGTTTTATGCTTTCTGTCCCAGCCTGTGTTTGTTTGCAAAGGCAAAGGCTGGCAAAGGTCTGTGGTGCTTGTGAAAAAGTTTATCTCAGAGCAGATGTGTATTTAATAGTGAAGCGGATGTGAATGGGAACAACTTGCAAAGTTTGTTTTGTACATGTCCTTTTCCRCGTGTTTAGAGATTGGAAACAGGGCGTTGATAAACGTCCCGGGTTACCTGGGACCGCGGGGTGGGCGGCCCAGGCCAGGCCCAGGCCAGGCCCGGCCTCCCCTCTGCCCCTGCAACCTGCCGGGCCTCTAAAACTTGCTTTGCTTGCGGAAACTGCAGGGTTACTGCACACAGCACACCCCTCGCTCTCAAAAGAAGAGGTGGGGAAAAAGAGGGGCTTTGTTCGACCCAGATTCTGTTTGTTTTTCATTCTCTGTGATATTATGCTGTGTAATGCATTACCCTACATATTTTCTCTGCCTTCTTAAGGGTGGAACACTCTACAAAATCAGTATATTAGGTTTCCTTAGTGCCATTAAATACCAGTCAGTTGAGAAAAGGAGTCAAAAAACACCTTTCACGTTTATTTTCAGCTCAACTGCGAAGGTTACAAGAAGACATTGAGAATCTCCGCGAGGAAAAGGAAAATGAGATTTCCAGTACTCGAAATCAGCTAATCGACGCTCAGAATGAGATTGTGCTGCTTCAACAAGCCGCGGAAAAGACGGCTTCGGAGCGCGACACCGACATCTGGGCCTTGCAGGAGGAGCTGCGGAAGGTGCGCACGGAGCTGGAGCGCTGGCGGCAGGACGCGTCCCGCTACGAGGAGGAGCTCGCCAGCCTGCGGGCCGGCTTCCAGCTGCGCTGCCAGCAGTGCGAGCAGCAGCACGAGGAGGAGGCTGCTCGCTTGAGAGGTACGAGGGGCGTCCCGGCGCAGCGCTCCTAGTGACAGCCGTAGCCATCCGAATGGCACGTACTTGTGTTTTACTACTATACACAGTTTTTTGTACATTTTTTGAATGGAAATTTTCAGCTGTACTCGGTTACCTTGAGATATCAAAAGTAGGCCAAGTATAATGCCAGTTTGAAAAAGATGGGAAGCTTACAGGGAATGATGCTGCCACAAGTTTCCAAATGGACTTGGCAGAATCATTTAATCTTGTGAAACAATAGCTTCTGGCTTCTCGGCTTTTACAGAAAAGCTGTGTTAGAGACAAGTGACTTTTGTGGCTTAGTGTGTTCAGTAGCTGTGTGCCTYCTCAGAATTGGTACTGAAGTAATTTTAGGATTAGAGCTTTATTCAGTAAACATTTTGTGCTGAGCAGGTATAGATTTTTGGGCTCATTCATTTGGATTTCATTCTACTCACAAATGCTTGTTTTTGTTTTTTTTCTTTAATCCTCTTTTGGCTGTCAAGGTGGGATATCTATAGGGTAATAGAGTTGAAAAGCTCACRCTGAGGCTTTGTGGATGCCCAGAGAAGCTGGCATATATAAAATGGGCTTAGAATTCCCAGGCAGTTCGTCTTCATGAAGACATGTAACTTTYTAGAATCAATTTCACTACTGACTGATATATTTCAAAGGTCTGATTTTAACACTCTSCTTTACATATTCTGTTTGTTTCAGCAGATCTAGTGATTCTGATTGTTACATTCAGGTCTGCTGGGACAAGAATTTGTTCAAATATGCTATTGTGACACTGTCCTAAATATGCTAGGATAGACCTGCAAATAGTCTGCTTTATGTGTTAGCAGAAGCTCCTTTCCTAAGAAACACTAGCTTGTTTAGTGGCTCACAAGCCATTCAGAACGGTAAAACACAATTTGATACACGCTGTGTGGCTGCTTGTGACACAGTGCAAGGGATGTGGTTATATTTAAGTATATTTGACTGATATTAGCTTTTCTTATTTTTTTTCCTGGCAACGCTTGAAGTATTCCTGACRTTTTATTGTACTTAATTCAAATGTATTTACTACAGGTGAACTTGAAAAGTTGAAGGAAGAGTGGAGCGCTCTGGAAGCGGAGTGCACTGCTCTCAAGAAGGAAAATACTTTGCTCACATCTGAACTTCAGCGACAAGAGAAGGAGCTTTCAAGGTACGTGCAGAGTGGATTTATGAAGAAAATATATCGTAGCAGCTTGAGAGTTTCTTCCCACTTCCACCCCCTCACTCTCCTGTACTGAAGGCGTTACAAGTCTGGTGAGATCTGAAGTGAGCATATTGAAATTTCATGGACATCATAGTTTTGGTCAAAACAAATTTTTGTTTCATTTGGTCAAAATCACTTGATTAGAAATAGTTTCACTAGAAATGAAGTGKTTTTATTCTAGATCTGAATTTTGCCAGCATTCTCATTTCTGTGTATGTGTCTGTGCCTTTGTATACATATACAAATGTATGTGTTCACACACATACATAATTTTTTCCCTCTGGCTTCCTCTGCAAGATTGGCGTTGATAGAACAAATGGAAGGTTTCCCACAGTGAGACAGGTCTAGGGTGGTGAGTTATTTTACTAGAATTAAGGCTTTCTGTCTGTATCTTGTTGTTCCATCATGCCCCTATTCTGATTCCTTATATTTTGTTTCAAGTTTTCTTTTTGATAGTGAGCACCACCCGGAAGCTCACTGCCAGATTTTTCAGAAATAAAAGCAAGTCTGTCTATATAAGTATTATCTGTTTTCTTTCACTTGTATTTTTTTTTTTGTATGGAAGGATGCGTAAGTAAATACAGAGTTTATGTAATGGAGATGCACAGATATTCCCCTTATGTGGCCTTGCACAGACCCAAATTAAAACTACTTTGTTATTACACTGAAGTTTGTAGTTTACTGGGTATATTGAATATACTGAAGTATATTATCCATTGTAATGATGTTAAATATAAGACAATGTCTACCTGTGTTTAGAAATTGAAATCTATAGCTAGACTTTTGTGTCAGCACTTTGTTTTGGGAGACAATGTTTGGTTGCACGAAACTGATGCTCCTTGCTAAATAAAAATAATGTATGAAGGTCTGAGGAGAAAAACTACTTTAAAATGTTTCGCTTGTTTGAATTTAACATGAGGAAACAAAGTTAAGATTCAAATGGTTGTTTTGCAGCTCTCAGGAACAGAGTTTAGCGCTAACTAGCGATATAAATGTTCTTGAAATGTCACGAAAAGAACTTGAAAATCAGATGGGATCTTTGAGAGAAAAACATCAGCGGGATGCAGCGAGTCTAAAAAGCCAACTCAGTGAAGCTGAAAACCAAGCAAAGGATGTTCAGAAAGAGGTAACGCTGATTTCTGTTTTAAGGGGATACTCTGCTAGTGACTTTGACCTTTAAGTATGTTACATTGAAATAAGGAGGAAAATCCGAAGTCTTTAAAACTTTTTTGATACTTTGATTGCAAAATGTTAGCAACCAGTGTGTAGATTGAGTGGTTAAATCTAAAAGGGAAGACCTAAATAAAATATGTTGCCTACGTGTGGAAACTTAGTTTGCTTTCACACACCTAAATTTGAGCTACTTGGGCAACTTAAACGTTAATCACATGGCTTGTAAACTAGTATTCATGATTAGGGTGGTATGCCGTTATAAATCACAACTAGTTCTTTTCAGTCATTATGGTCTTCCTCGATAGATTTAAGCTATTTTATTTCACTTCAGAGTACACGTCCCTCGCAGAGGTGAGTCTCCTCTTGCTTTACTGGGTCCCTGAGCTTCTGAGGAGGATTAGCTGGTGCCCAGGACACAGGCAGCATGTTGAGCCCGTGCCTCATCCGCGTGGCCTCCAGAGATCCCATTGGAAGTTCATAGTCTCCAGCAGTTCCTTTCGCTCATGAGCATTTCTAGACAAGTTTTCCTCAGTCACTGCTRTTATTTCCTATCTTCTACAGCCCTCTTCCTTGCTTTGTCATAGATTCATCTCTGTCACATTCTCTACCATTTCCATAATTTGAAAATCCCAGTCTTCTTGATGTATGTATACAGAACTGGAAATGCCTGCTCTGTTAAGTTTGCGGTTAGTGCCAGAACTAAAGGTTATTAGTTCTGTCCCTGCTAATCCCTGTCATGGGGGCTACTGGAAAACTGGGATGTGTGGAGAAATACTGAGGGCAAGTATTCTGAAGAGGGAGAAGCTGTCCGTAATGCAGAAACAGGAGCCACGTTGACCAGGGCTGTTTGTGCTCAACCCCCTCTAGGATTCCAGCATAGTAATTTTAAGAAATAGTAATTTTGTGCCTTTCTTACTCTTATATGTTCAGGTTTCTTTGTAGGGAGAGGTTTGATTTGCTTCATAGAATGTTATTTTTGCACCTGTTTGATTGCTTTAGCTATTTAGGCTACTGCCTAGACATAAGACCACTGTCTAAATATAAAAGACACCTTGTTACCTTGTCTTGTCTTTACAATGCTTTCTATAATTCCTTCCTATTTAATAATAGAGAATTGTTTGGTGTGAGAGGTGGATTTAGGCTTTGCATTTCCTTGTTTTGGGAATCATTCCTGGAGTTGATTTGCCATGCATTAGCCCTCTGCGTTCTAAGGTTAGCATAGATGATGTCTTAATTGTGAACTCTCTGGATTGCAATTTAATACACCATCATCCATCCTTATTACTGGTAAGAGTTATGTTGCTGTACTGTGCCTGGTACAGCACGGAAATTGTTTGCTCTGGGGAAGACTCACAGTACAGTTGCATATGAGAGCTTTTGAAAMCTGCACAGTACTCTATGCAGTGAGGGTTTTTTTCAAGGCATATATAAATGATGATCTGCTCAAAATATTGTTTGGTTTTGGAATGTCCCAGATAAAAAGAAATTTAATCTTTGCAATTTCATGATTTGCTGACTTTGAGTGTATTGCAAAGAAGCTCTTTGCCAAACAAAGTTTTTAGGGGAAATATGCAATAGATGGCTTTCCAAATATTGTAAAAAGTAGGTTTATTTAACAAGAGAAAAACTGATGAGCTCGTTCTGAACCATTGCCCTGCATGTTCTTAGTGCCATATTGTGATGGCCTGTGCTGCATGTGTCTGAAGTGGCGGAGTTCTGAGGYTGTGGCCATCCCAAATGTCTGAAACCTAATGGAAAAAATAATTATTGTTTCTCTGTGTTTTCTAGGTTAAAATTGTTTGTGGAGTTCTGTCTAGTTGTGAATTTTTGTTCATTATGGTGACCTTTGGTGTTTCTGAAGCATGGTGCAGTGTTGTTTTATTGTTAACTGCTTCCTGATAGTCACAAGTTACCTGTATTTCCCCTCCAGGGGAAGGGAAAAGCGTTAAGTCTCAAAAACTAAATTTATTATTGTTCTTTCTGTCTTGCTAGAATACTATAACTAGTCTTTCTTATCCAAAAGAGCACACAAGTAATCCCAACCCTTCACAGGCACAGGGCGAACTCTTTGTTTCTTTTTAAAGATAATCTTTACGGTTCTAGAGTAAATCGTCTCTTCTTGCTGTGTTTTTTCCTCTCTTCCTTTTCCTGGAGATAAGATATCTTATTTGCACTCCCGAAGACTTTTCTTCCCTGCTTTATTCATACAGAGCGAGGGTGCTGCTTTAGGCACGTGGCAGGCGAGGAGGATAGAGGCTAAGCAAGTGCAAGCGTGCCCTGGCGCTCCCGGGGGTCTGCAGACTCTTTTCTCTTTGCCTTTAGTATGAAAGGACACAGACTGTGCTCTCAGAGCTGAAGGCGAAGTTTGAGATGGCTGAACAAGAAAAGCAGTCAATCACAGATGAGCTCAAACAGTGTAAAGAGAACCTGAAGCTGCTACAAGAAAAAGGAAATAACGTAAGTCTGCACAAAGTACGTGGGGAGGTCTGGTTATGACGCTGGCAATTCTCCCTCAGATTTGAGAACATCTGTGTGTCGGGTAGTAAAGGACAGACTTTCAGAAGGTCTGTGCACCGTGTAATGTGCAAAACTGCACTCCAGTACTGCAGCTGCAAATTTGCAAGTCATTAGTGTTACAGTTATGTGTACAAGATAGATTTACAGCTGTATAACAGTTTTCAGTGTGGCCCTAGATATCTGTTCTCTTGAAAAATCTAGCTTGATTCCTAGTGGACCAGAACTAGGCAAAACATTTTGAGTAATACGTAAGTAAAAACTGAGACACCTGCATCTGTATGAATTTAGCAACCTTTTCAAGATGGTTTTGTTAGTGGCTGTTGCAACATAATGTTGCTTTTGGACTCTTGCTCCTTCCTGTTAATGGTTGTCCTCCTTCAGGGGTTTAGGATTTGCCCAGTGCAATTAAAGTGAGAAATGGCATCATTGGAATTGAGGTTGCAGGTAGGACTGAGACTTCTGAAATGCTCCCAACGTTAGCAGAGTGGCAGACACCCAGGGAGATCCCTGAGCCTTTTTGGACATCTTGCGACCCAGGATGACTGGTTTAAAGGTCTTCCTGGCTGATCCTGCTGGCCTCTGGAGACAGGGCAACTCCTACACTGGACAGTGCAGAAAAGGAGGACAGCAGATGCTCTCTAATAACATTTTAGAGTAGAGTCTCTCTGGTTTTAAGTGGAGCCTCCTGGTACCTCCCTCTAAGGTTAGCTCTCAACAGGATGCCTGAGGTTACTATGAGTGTTTTTGCCATAGCCATATGACTGAGTGAACATCTCTAACCTAGCAGAGCTAAGAAGAGTAAAGAATTCAAAGCTGTTCCTACTGTCCACAGTCATGTGAAAGATAATCCTGTCCTAGAACCTATTCTAGGATTCTTCTGAAATAATAATAGCCCAGATAATACTGACTTGCTAAAGTAGGAAGATGGTTTATTAAAAATAAACAAAGCAAGATCTGTAATAGATTACACTGAAAAAGTGATTGTGAATGTGAGATTCTCTGTTAAAATATTAATCTCAAGGTTAGGATGGTCAGTGCAAAGAGGGGCTAGTAGCAGGAAGCAATGCTACGAATGAAGTTGGAGCACATGAAGAAAGTGAAGCTTGCAAGATATCAGGGATTYTTAGCAAGCCTGTGAGGTGAGTATTCAAACACATTAAGGAAGAGAGCAATTGCCCAAGTCTGCCTCGAGAGAAGGAGCCTGGTTGTGACAACTGGGGAGCCTGGGCATCAGGAGCTGAAGAGCGTCCGACCACACGAAGAATTACAGGACAAGCTYGCTGTTAGAGCGAGTGTTAGGTGTATTCAGTAATGTCAAATATGATGAATTTGTGGATTATTTTAAAAATATCTGGGCTGAATTCCAAGGTCATTTCTTTTTTTCCAAGCATTATTGCCCTCCTCCTCAACTGTGCTGGAATCTATAATCATTTCTGAGGACAGTGTCCCAGAGAAAGTCTGTCCCCACTGTGGGATTTGATTCTTTTGGGGCTCACCTGAGTTTGCATATCTTTATATGCTTATAGGATATCCTTATATCCCTCATCCTTATAGGACACATGTTTTAGAAGACCTTAATTGCTTCTCAGCTGGGAGGAGATTTGTTATATATTTGTAAATTCATGAGAGAGAAATTTTAATTGCTTGGAGGCAATTTCATTTAAAGCAGTGAATATTTATAACTTGTTTCACTTTCCAAGATGCCACAGGCATGAATATGAATAAACAAAAAGTCTGCACAATCATCCTGTGAATTTTTAAACACTAGAGGGTTCTGTCCTCCATTTGGACTATCATTTTGAATATTCACAAATTTCTAGGCATTTCCTTTGGCAGGGGTAAAGTTGTACTTTGAAAAAAGCTGTGTTGTGTCCTAAAGCTGCTAGCAGTGCGGTGCACCACTCGTGCTTGCATGCTTGTAGCCAGCGGGCGTTTGCTGACGCTGTGTGTGGTGGATCTGTCTGTGAATGGTTTGAGAACGTTAGCTGCTCTCATTGACTTCTGGCACTTTTTTGAGCACTGCTGTGATCGTTTCTGCCAACATGCTTTCTGTGGTAAGATGGCACTATAATTTGTAGCACCAATGGCAAAAATATTGCATGAAAACAACTTGGTTGCACATGATTTGTCCATTTGATATATATATATATGCCTTGATTAAAATAAATTTGAATGATTATAAGATCAAGAATCGAATGACAGAGATTAGGATTTTAAGTGTTCTGTATTTTGAACCATACTTTGAGGTTCTACGTTTAAAGTGATTAAATGACTCCTACAAATTCATAACTGAATGAGATTTGATTTGTGAATTGCAAAATAACGCTTAAGAAAGTTTTCAAACGTAATCTTATTTTTTTTAGTTGGCTGAACAAAATCAAAGTGGCTTCAGCACAAAAAAAAAAAAAAATAAAGAAAAAAAAACCACAATACAACCTAGCATGGTTTGAACTTAACCTCTGTGTGTCTGTGTGTGTGCACAACTCTCAGCTCAGATAGGGAGAAAGCAGGTTCTTCCAAAGGACACCTCAGAAACGTGCTCCCTTTTGCTTTTAGCGCGTTGTATGGAGGATAGGGGCTGTCCATGCAGAAAGCGAAGTCACTCCCAGGCAGCGGGAGGTGCCTGGGGACAGGTGGAGCGGGGCGATCCCGATCCCTGCGGAGCGGGGCGATCCCGATCCCAACCCCGCGCTGCTGCTGGCTGCTCGGCTGCCGTGGGAGCCCCGTCTCGTGCTCCCTCGTGCCAAGAGCCCTGCGTGGGCCAGGCACAGTTCCCCACCACCAGTAATCTGGTGTTGGTTGTACAGTCGCGTTAGCCCACGGAAAGGGCTGAGCTGCGGGAGTTGCCTGCTGCCGTGGTTGCATTGATTCATTCACTGAGGAATAAGAGTTTTATTTTTCCTGGAGGCCAGTGATGAAAAATGGTAAAAGAGTAAATTACATGGCAGGAAGAAGGTGAAAAATTCACTGCCTTGTGTGAGTTTTACTGCCTTCAGAGAAATCCAGATGGGATTTCCTATCACTTGCACAGAAAACTGAAAGCAAATTACAATCAAGTTGCAGGCAGATCAATTTAAGCTTCATGTTGCTCTTAAGTGCTAAATCCCACCTTGTGACAGAGGGGTTTTTTGCTATTTTCTGCTCCCTTCCTGTTAGTTTTAAACATCCCTGTCCATTTGACTAGAACGGTGTACTAACTGTGCATACCAGAGTAGAGATCATGCTGTATTGTGTTAGATGTCTTTAATACATTTCAATTAAAACAAAACTCACTCTGACTTATTTTCCCCTCTCTAAATCATCTTTACGTGATTGATTTATAGCACAAAGTGATTTTTAATATCCCTTCCCTTCTTTAGCCTTCCATATTACAACCCGTCCCAGCCGTATTCATCGGCCTAATCCTGGCTTTCCTGTATTGGTGTTACGGCCCAATGTGGTAGCGAAAGGTACAAGCACTCCTGTTCAGTCTGTATGTTTGTCCCTCTCACCTGTTTGTGCCATTTCTGTATAAAATAGTGCATGGTGAAATGCTCACAGGTATTTATTTACCTGAAGCAAACCCTTCATTTAATTTGCCATTCTGTTGGTACTGATGAGCTGCACAAGCGACTAATCATTTAACATCTGTCTGATTTCTCTAACAATGAATTAACTCCATCCTAACTGGTTCTGAATGTGCCTCTTCTAACTTGGTCTCAGTTTGTCTTTAGCAAATGGGCTAAGTTTTGCACGATGCTGCGATGCTAGGGCTGGAATGAAAATTTAATTGCTTAATTAACTATGGAAAATGAAGAGTTTGCCTCTAAATAATAATCAAAATCAACAAGCTTTGGTTCTTAATTATGGACTAAGAATTTCCTCTCTGGCTTTAAACACTTTTTTATTTTTCTCACTATTGCTGTGAAGAAGATGGAAAAAAGATGAGAAATAGGTGGTTGGTTTGTATTCTCCTCTCTCAGCTTGCATCCTCTCTAACGTCTCCCAGTGTGTCCTTCTCTTAAATCGCTGCTCTTGTCATAAAATGTCATGCCGGTGTGTTCAAGACCATGTCGTTAGGCTCTGCTAAGAGCTGATTTTGTAGACCTGGGTTTAAACGTTCAAATGATAAGAACAGAAGGGTGACGTTACTGCATAAACCTACGTCTAGCAAATATTTGGCACAAGTGATGTCTTAAACATCGTAAGCCCTCAAGTATTTAGTAGTAGATGTGCCTGAGGCGTGTGCAGTAATGAAGCTGGAAATACGGGGCCGCTAAAGCCTCTCCTTTTGCTCTTGGATCATGAAGAGTTTTCCATAGTTTTCCATTGGAATAGCTTCCGCTAAGGGAATACGGTTTAACTCTTAAGCGAGGATTAGCCTGCAGTAGGGCTCAGGGGTAACGTTCTGGTGATGCCTATCGACAGGTACTCAGAGGAGCCACGGGGTAAACTAATCGGTGTGAATTGGAGCAAATATGATATTGATTTCTTTTTTCTCTCCACACAGAAACAATGGCCTTGGATGCCTGTGATGGCAGCTTTGGTTGCTGTAACAGCCGTGGTGCTGTACCCAGGCCTAACCAGAGCTTCTCCATGAGAACTGTTGTTGAATCCATACACCGTCCTCCCTTTAGAAGCTGGCAGCACTCATATACTGAGGGAAAACAGATTAATTCTCTTCCTTTTTACCTCTTAATACAGCACAGCTCTGCGTGAGAACAGCAGTAGGGTCATTTGCTTTAAACTGTATAAAATGTATCTGTCTATAAAGAGGGAATAAAATTGTGATTCATCATACTGTGAGCAATATTTTTGCTTACAATTTCACGTAAGTTTTAAATTAGTATGTTGGGATTCTAAATACTATAATGGTGGCCTAAAGTAGGCTTCGTGGTACCAGATTATTTATAATGGCTAGGTTTGTGGACTCTCACTGTAGGATCTGATTGCCGGCTGTCAAAGGAAAAACACAGTTTTGCTGATCTGGACGCCCAAGTCGAATAACTTCGCAGATCCTTTGCAAGCAGCTGCAGTGTGCTCAGTGCCTTTCAGTATGCTGGTCCTTCCTCTAAAACAAGGATACCGTTTTATTGCTGTTGGTCACTGAGCTGTTGGGAACAAGACTTAAGGTAACTTCGCTTAGGCCTTTCGAAGGAAGCCTATTTTTATTTGACAAGGATTGTTTTATTGATGATTTCTGGAAATAAACACAATTCCTGTCCAGCCTTAAAGAGATAGAGACACTGATGGTGAAGACCAGCCTAGAATATTGAGTGTGCGCGTGTGCGAGTGTAAGCATGTGTGTGTTCCTGAATGAACTAAGGGGTTTCTGGGAGCAAATACTCGGTCATTTGATGGACATAGTGCAGTGATTCAACTTGCGTTAACTTTAGTTTGAATGTAATTTATTAAATTTCATATATTTAAAGAGATGCRTTCTTTAAAAGTATGAATCCTTTTCTCACATATCACATTGTATCAGTTTATTTTTTCAGGCATTTGATACCTTCTGACTTGAGCTGGAAAGGCTCTTTAGATAAGCTTTTATTGGTGCAACTTCATTATGAAATCTGCTACAATGCATCTGTAATTAGCAAAAAAATTCAGAACTGCATAATCTGCTCCAAAATTGGGATTGTCTGTCTAGTCATGGATGTGTCAGGTGAACAACGCTTTAATTTGGTAGGTAAATTTTTCATCAACATCACATGGCTGTGAGCCCAATACAGTGATCCCCATTATAAAGTTGATTTTTCTTATCAAAGTACTATGATTATTGCTACTTGCTGGCTTTTGGTGGGAATCACTGTAGTTATTGCTGAATTAAAGCATAGACTGTAGTTACCTTGTTCAGCTCACCAGTTCTGTCAAAAAAGTTTATTAAAGACTTCAATAATATGCTGAAGAAAGGTGAAGCAAAATGGCTCTACTAAAGGAAACTTCAAAATAGGGAAATAACTTAAAAGATTCAATTGGCTTTAAACAGTCTTATGGCAATCGACAGTTTAAATATTTAAATAGAAATTTAGCATAAAATATACCTTGAGTTTTTGAGAATCGTTGTCTGTCCTTTAAAGGTTCTACCTTAAGCTATGTGGGATTTGCTAATGGGAGGATTATTAGTTATGGAAAAAATAGTCCACAGGTGACTTGTAGAAAATATATATTGTCATTTAGTTCATTAATTTCATCACTTTCAGTTGCAGGAAGCCACCCAACCACAGAACACTCGTATGCCAGTGGTACCCAGTACCTCTTGTATATAGGTTATTGCAAATATTGTTCTGAAATGCTTAACTTCAGAATTACATTTTTTAAAGTAAATAATTGTTTTAAATCTATTTTGTAAAGATATAAAAAATACAATAGAATTTCTGGAGTACAGATTAAACTATTTGCACTAACACACGTGATGTGCATGATTTAATAAAATAACTTTACTCTCCCTATGCATGTTTGAGTTGAATCTCATTTGAAAGCAGTAGATCCTGCCCGAGTCCCCCTTGCGCTAGGTCTTGCCACGGTCACTAGGCACAGCGTCTGCAGCATGTCACACCGCAGGACGTTTGCTCCTTGTGTTTCACACGTGCACTCGTGGGTGTTTTTGTCTGGATGCTCTCTCTCCTGTGTGGTTTTCAGYGCGAGGTGGGGAATGGGGCTGTGAGGGGCTGGGGGACATTGCTGGGGAAAATGCAGGTGTTTGAGGGGTGGCCGGGCAAGGCTGGAGGGGCAGCGAGCGCAGCGGGTGCAGCAGCGGGAAGGGAAGGGGCCGGAGCTGCCTCCTGCGCTCCAGAGCGTCCCCCTTCCTCCGCTGGCCCCTCCGTGTCCCGGTGCTGTCCCGGGAGCTGCTCCCCCTGCCCTGCCCGGCAGCAGCACGTGGAGGTGGCGCGTGGAGGTGCAGCGGGGATGGGACTCCGAGTTCAGTGTCAGACAAATGCAGACGGGTTTCGGAGGTGGTTAGAGCATCAGAGGGCTGAAATTTAAGTTCCAGCGTGGCTGTGTTTGAGGAGAAAGACTTCAGTTAATTCTGTGCATGTGTGCGGATTTGTATCCTATACACAGACATAGCGTACACACCGCATGGGTGTCTGTGCTTACAAATATACCCGTGTTTCCCAGGCRTTCCTGACACTTGCATGTTCCAAATTTCCGGGAATGAGCCAAAAGGCACAGTTCACTTTCATTGTAAGGACGGGGCCTGGGAAGCTGCTCTTACTCAGTGCTTTGACACCAAAGCAGCAAATAGATTTATTTTGTGCTATCTGTGTATGAATCTCTCCACAGCTGCTTTTCATTGCATATGCTTATAGTAAATATGCTGTTTTACATTCATACTTAAATTCATTCTTTTTATTGGTGAGGATTGATGTTGACTGACTCGGCCTTGGAGTCCCTGCAGCAAGGCAGTTTTTCCACAAATTCATAAGGCACTGAGAGCCTATTGTAAATTAAACGCTCGGAACTTCTATTGAGGTAGGTTTACAAAGGCTTTTGTGCTCGGAAGATGAGTTTGAGAACTGTTTTATCAATTACTAGCTGAATTTTGAAGATTTAGTAACATCTGAACTCTTGACCAGTTTTGTCTTAGACTACTGTGAGGCACTTCTTCTGAATTAAAACTGAATAGTATTTCCACCTACAAGGGGACTACAACAACAATGGCCTTCTATTTATAACATAGGAAAATAAAATTTGCTTTTCATGTTCTAAGGAGCTGAATTAAGGACTATTTCCAGAGTCTTAGCCAAAAAGCTTCTTGTAGACTGTATTATTTTGGTGCTAAATGGAGAATTACAAGCCCGCACAATATATTGCAAGGATTTTTTGCTGTTGCTGTTTTGCTTTTAAGAACAGTCTCAATGAGATTTAGCATTAAATGAATGATGGCTGAAGCAAAGCTAATTGTCCATGTGTATTCTGGGCATATCCTAAGTTATTCTTCTGCCTTCTTTTGATCGAGTCTTCTAAACTACATTATGTCAGAGTTTTCACATAATGTTTTGAATGTCTTCTGCCTTAATCTGCAGGGTTTGATCACTTGCAAGAATCGTTTCTGAGCTCAGCTCTTCTCCGTGCTAAACGTGCTGCAGAGGTTCACCCYGCGAGCAGCATGCGAGCGCGCTGAAGCGCCCGGCCACCAGAAGGGCTCGGGAAGCCGCTGGGGTTTGTGCTGCTGCTGCAAGTGGCCTCGGCCTCTGGCCCCTTCTTTCTGCTGCTTTTCATCCACTGCTAGTGTTTCTCTAGCAGCTGCTCCAAGTCTTCATCAAGCCAGCAGCAGGTGAYGTCTAAGAACACCTAAGGGAGGCCCTCTCTTCCCCTTCTCCGCTCCTTTCTCAAGCTTCTTTCTCCAGTATCTCTGGCTCTTGTCTGAAGGGCTGCCACTTTCCAGCAAATTGCACTGAATTCTGCAGCTCCAGCTGACTTACTCAACCCAGTTCCTCTCTGGGCGTTTCCAACACCGAGTTCCCTTTCTTATTCCAGGGCACTGGGGAAGCAGGCTGCAGGTGTCTCYCAGTTCTCTGCCTTCCTGGGATTTTGTTTAATACCAGCTAAACCAAGGTAGAAGGATTTGTCCTTAGCTCTTCTGCCTGTAGAGCAGGTTTCACTTGCTGCTGCTTTTGACCAGAAGTGATTAAAGGTGGCGAGATGGAGAAGGCAAGACAGCCATTGAAACCCAAGCTTCAGTAATAGGGGCCACGAGAGGTTTGCATTTCACTCGTTTGTGAAGGCAGAGGGAACGCAGATGTCCCTGGTGCTCTGTGTTTGCGGGCTGTAAAACTTCACTGAGTAATTTCAGCATCAAAAGTGCAATGTCTATAAATAAAGTTAGAGCATATATCAGAGGTGAAACCTTGATTTAAGAACTTCACTTAATGGAGAATTATTCACCTGTCTAGGTAAGTTACTCAAACAGTTCTTGTCTTGACCAAGGGAAGGGGGAAGAAGGCAGAGAGGGTAGAAGCTGTATTTGAACTGGGCCAGTCTCAGCTCCCAGCTTTTGGATTTCAGGGCTTCCCCCCCCCATTTTTTTTTTCTTTTGTTTTTTCCTTTGAGGAGGCTTTACTAGCACGGACACCCTTACGCAGGGATTTGCCAATCATGATCAAATGACCTTCTAATTTTATGAGCGGATTCAGTTTCTTTATTCTTTTCTCTTCATCCCTCTAGTTGCTGTTGTCAGCTTCTAAAAGTTGTTCTAATTTTAATAATGCTCTTTTTGAAAAGTGGATGCCAGAACTGAGCGTATCCTTTCAGCAATAACCTTGCTAACATTATGTAATCGGGTAACAGTTCTCTRTCCCACTCTGATATTCCTACTCATTTGCCCTAAGAAACCCCTAGGACTTTTTTTGAGGTTAACAGGCTTGTATTATTCTATCAGTGGAATTTTCTGTTGATCACACCCCATCCATAGGTGACCTGACTGCTCCCTGCAGTGATTTGCATGGATCTTGAGGGGAAGCAAAAGGTCTCTTTCCCAAGGTCGTGCCCTATCTTCTTCCGCCTCGGAGCGGTGTTGCCTCCTGCTGTCTCTTGTCTCCGTAAAGGATTCCCTGTTCAGAATATCCCCGTGACTCTCTTAGGTCTTTCGCTCGGTTTGGCTCAGCGTTGCACGCGGTCCCGACAATCCTGACACCTTGAGCGCACCAAGGGGCCGAGTGTGCATGTGTTCCCGTTGCTGTTGAGACCGTGCCTGCATGCAGCGGAACAGCATTCCTTGCGTTGAGCAGCTCTGGGAGGAAGGGGTAGCGTGGAGATGCCATTCCCTCATCAGGTCACTGGGGTAGAGTGGAAAATGCAGATCGCTTCCAAGCGTGTCATCTCCTCCTCATACCCGATGAGAATGAACAAGCCCAAAGCGAAATACAGGTTAAACTGAAAGTAATGTTTTCTAACCTAAACGGATAAAAATTGTGATGGATCAGTGATGAATTCATTGTACTATTGGAATAAAACTTACCTAGGCTGTATTTGTTTCAGTATTCTCTGTTATGAACTTGTTTTTTGGAAAAACCACACATGTGCTATGAGTGGTAAAGGCCTCCAGCATGGAATAGAGTTGTTTTAAACTTTTCATGCTAGATCATTTATGAAGTTTATATTTTTGCTCGGAATTTTTGCTCTGGAGAAGATTTTTATTGGGTACATCATTGGTTTCAATGTGGCAAATACTTGTCTTGGAATATAATGGCTCTTACTTTAAAATGTTTTCAATATGCAATATGTCTTTGGGATGACTAAATGGTGAAAATGACAAGAATAAATTTCCAACACGACAGAAAGCTGTTGATTTGTGTTGCATATAGTCTTTCGTTCAGCCTAATCCCGAATCTCAGCCCTTTGCACTTTCTCAATATCTTGTGTCACTCTGCTTTATCAGCTTGCAGTAGAAGATGCTAATCTTTAAAATCAATGAATCCCTGCTTTGAAATTGGGGTTTATTTACCTGTTTTGTACAAGAAGTTTGTGGCCGTGCGGCCTTCCCTTCCCGGTTTAATGCAGTAAAGCCGGGCCCAGCCTGGCCGAGCCGCACGGGCCGGGTCCGGAGCCCCGTTGGCACCGTGTTGCGTGGTGGTTGGTGACGGGACATCCTCCAGATCTCATTCACTCGTCATCCTTTAAGAAACCCCAAACAGCCTTTAAGCAGGACTGTAAATCAGCTTTTCTTGCGGAGCTCGGCCTCAGTGCTGATGCCGGCGGAGGAATGTCCTGATTCACCTCTGCTGTGGGAGGTTTCAGCAGAGCGTGGAGGAGGCAGGGCTGCCTCCTGTTCACTCTGCTCTTGTGATTCCACCCCAGGGCCGAGTTTAAGACACCCCTGTTCCCGKCGGGGCTGTCTTGAGACCTGCTGGACATCCCACGTAAGTGTGTCGCTTGTGCTTCACTGCTTTTAAAAACCAGAATCACAGCTGGTGCGGAAGCATTCCAATAGTTTTGTTGTTTGGGGGGTTTTTTTGTTTGTTTGTTTATTTGTGTGTGTGTGTGTGTGTTATTACAATGTGAACAACATCTCTCTGCTGCTCTTCATGGGATGTTACTGGTGGCAGGGATCACTTCCAGCATCCGTCACTAACCTCATCTTGAATCTCTGCCTCCCCAATAGCAGGGCAGAACACTATTTCTTAGACCAGGGAGGAGAGCACTGAATTACTTCTCTAGCTATTTCTCTGGAGCAAAGTTGCAGGTGGAAAGCAGTGATAAGCT